GCAGAAGCTCAAACTCAGCCCCTGGCCCCTGTCACCCATATCCCTCTGTCATAACCTCTCAATGGCCCCTAAGTCCCGTAATTTTCCTTTTGAACTGTTTCAGCAACACCAAAGGGAGTGATTTTCCAGCCCTTAATGAGGAAGGATTTACAGGGAGATTCTGCCCTTATTTGAGGCAGAGGGATCTCTCGGTCTTATTTTCTCTTGATCACAACAAGGGGTGTCCGCTGTTTCAAGGAGCCCTGTGTCTACAAAGAATCACTGTGGATTCACTGTGATTCCCATCACTGTCTAATGGGAATCACTGCGCCCACAGGTCTGAAGAAAGCATGCCAAGAAGACACTGGAGAATTTCTGCACGGCACCCGGATGTAATGGAAAATCCCCAGGGAACAGTGTGGTCCCATGGGTCATTTGAATCCTGCTAGGGTTTGATTTAGCAACAGATCCAAAAGCTGGCCCTTTAGTAAGATGAGGTTGTGCTCTTCTAGTCTGCACCTGTCCTGGGCTCATGCTTTCCATGTGCCCGGTGGCTTGAAAGCCAGAAGCCTAGGGACCTGTAAGTCTTTTCCTGACTCAGCAAATCAGATGCTAACTGCAGAGTCAGAGTGGACTTCGCTCCTGCCAAGGACTGAAGGCCTCACCACGCCTAACTGCTGTGTTCCTCAGTCATAGCCCCAAAGGGCTGGGAGCTCGCCCCTTCCCGAGCTCTCCTCCGGGAGCCATATTCTCTATGGTTCCAAGCCTTACCCGAGAAGCTGAGCTAGGTAGATGCTGGCAACTCAGGGACACTGAAGTTTCAACCAGGAAATCATCCCCAGGGATACGGAGAAGTAGAGGGTCCCAGTGAAAGAGGGGGGCCAGGGCTGCACCCACGATAAAGGCAGGCATTCTTATCTTCAGTGCACAAAAGTGAAACCCCCCATCAGTGAGGAACAGTCACTTGCCCAAGGCCACATAGCAAGGAAAGGGCAGATCTGGGATCCAAAATCATTGCTCCCCCAACATGTGGACAGAGATACACAGGACATGATTTCAGCTGGCAAAATGAGAAAGCCATTCCGGCTTCAACTGTCCTTTATGTCCGCCAAGATGAAAGGCTCGTTTGGTGCTCATATGTCTTTCACAGCCTCTCAAACTCCTGCTACATCTCTTCTTAAAAAAGAGAGCAGATTCCAGCTCAAGGTCTTTTTTTTTTTTTTTAAGGCAGTAAACAGTATTTTGGTAAAATAAACATACTTATTTTTACAATTATCTTCTGTTTATGCAAAATGACACTGGCCTCCCATAGATACAAGTCTAAAAAGCGAGTTGGTTTAAAGAAAACCACTAAAGATCCAATTGCGTAGGTGGTGCGCAGACATGGTCAAAATCAGAAAGGCCAGTGGCAGGTGCCTTGAGTTGGAAATGCTATTATAGAATGTGCGAGAAAACTCAGTGGTGCAAGGGTCTGCTGTCTCCCGGACTTAAGAGTTTATCTGCTGGCAAGGTAAGGAATTGGAAGGGCTTCTTCCCAGTGCCCTTGACTGCAGCCCCCCTCCTCCCTGGGCTCCCGGGACCTAAGGCCTGGGAGGGAAGGAGGGGAGGGGAAGAAGGAAGGGGACACCAGATGCAGGAATGCCTGCCAGGCATCCGTGAAATGGGATGGTGAGGGCCTCCCAAACTCTTTGCACATGGGAGAAGTGCTTCTCAATTTCCTCATGGCCTCCCCCACAGGCCGAAAAGGAAACTCTTGGTGAAAAGGCAATGAGCATGGCTAAAGCATGAGCTTAAGGGGACAGCAGAACAGCCAGAAGGGCCTGGACACTGTGGGCAAGATGCTGTCCAAATGCTCTCGGCCACAATACAATGAGACAGGAGAGAGGAGAACGTAGAGAGGAGAAGGGGAAGAGAAGAGAAAGAAGCAAGGAGGGCCAGGAGGAGGAAAAGGATGGCAGGAGTCCAGCCACAACTCTGCACCCATAAACACAGAAACGGAGAGCACTTCCCCATCCTGCCACCAAGTCATTAAAATAGGCCCAGTGATGCAAGACTCATCTGTTCACATCTACGCAAAGCTCAACCACATGCATTTGGGAAGTCTTGTCAACAAAAATGCTGTCTTATGATGTCTTTTCCTGTAACATACGTCATTAATGACCGGAAATCAGTGGTGCCCACAGCCAGGCATCTGTGTACACATAACCCGTGTGGGGCACTGCCTAGGTCTGGGGATTCCGGGCGGCTGCTGCAATAGCAGGATGCTTCAGGAGGACTGCTACATGTACCAAGTGATGGCTGGAGTTGGGGAAATTGGGGGGGGGGGCTCTAAAGCCCACGTAGAACGCAGAATATCAGGACTGGTCTTAGTGCTCAGAAACATCCTCCTGGAAGGAGCAGGACTTCCTGCTAAGAAAGCCCCCGTCTGGGTTGGCAAAGGGCAAGTCTCCACCTGCCCACTGCTGTGGGGCTTCAGACTTACCTCCGCCGACAGTCTTCTGAGAACGTAGGGACTGGGCTCCCGCAGGCTGCCAAGCCACCTGAGAACTCTCTTTTTCTATATAAAACCTGCAGTTTTGATGGGTATTCATCAGATTGGATCAAGTTCTGCTTCTGCAGCTGAAAGCTAGTTGTTTCCCTTGGCCCATGTCTAGAGGCTGCAAGGGATGGGGCGTCCATGAGAGGTCCCCATTGCTTGATGGCTAAGGTTGGGAATGGTAGTAGCCATGAGCGGGGACTGTGGCTGTCAAGGGGGTCAAGCTGCTGGTCTGTGGGAATATCAGGGGTGAGAGATGAGCTCCTGCAGCAGGTGTCAACTTAGAGATATGACCCCGAGTCAAACGGCTGACCATCTGGGGACCCCTCTTGTGCACTGGAACTTGGGGGATTCCCCCAACCTTTGAATCTGCACTCAGCCACGTGACTTACTCTGAGCGACCAAAATGTAGCACAAAGGACCTCATGCTGATTCCCAGCTGAGGTCTCAAAAGGCCTCGTACGCTTCTGCTGGCACTCTTGAAAACTGCCACCACGGCCATACATACAAGGCTGAGTTGTCCTGCCATGGGCTGAGAGACCTGTGGCCCAGTGTCCCCCACTTTCCTGGCCACCAGCCGGCCAACCGTCAGAAGCCCAGTTGCCTCGTTGGCTATCAGCTGACCACAGATTCATGAAGAAGTCCATCTCAGACCAGAAGACCCTCTCAGCCCATGCAGTCAACCCCACAGAATTGCAAACTAAATGAACGACAGTGTGAGGCCACTGAGCTTTGGGGTGCTTTGTTATGTGGCATTAGTCACGCTGACAGCTGACTGACACAAGGGAGTGAGAAGCGTTTCGCCTGCCTTGGACCTCCTGGGGAAAGACTAGGCAGCTACCCTGAGACTCGGTCCCCTTCTGGGTTTGGGTCGCTGGGGTGGGGTTGGGAGGACACAGTCTTCCATGGCAAACACTTCTCTCCTTTGTATTAAAAAAATTCCCGAAGCGCAGAAACAAAAAAGAACCCATATTCACACATTTCTCTGTTTATATATATTTTCTCTATATATAGACACAACTCTTCAGTAAACAGTTACAAGATATGTTGGCAACACTGAAAAAAGGAGGCGGGCACCCCATAGACAGGACGACTTCCTACACACTCGATTTCCAGGACACAAGGACACACACGATGTACGGAGACCGAAAAAAGCACAGTAAGCTGAATAAATAGGCGATGTTCCAAATCACAACCACGGACACTTCTATGGAACACCGCGAGAGAGAAGGCGGAGAAGGGATTGTGTGCTGTAACACCGCGAGAGAGAAGGCGGAGAAGGGATTGTGTGCTGTACTTTGTGACGGGACTGTCAAGAAAATAAATACGAGTTGGAAGGTCTAGGACCTGGGTCTTGCTGAAATAATGTCCTCCGTAATGAACAGCCAAGTGGCTAGATACACTTTGAACCAAAGGGGGCTTTTGCACATATCTTCCCCATCTTGGGAAGGCAGGGGCCCAGAGCAAGGAGACACAATTGTCATGGAGCACACTCTTTGGAGGTAAGCATCATTTAAATCTTGCCCATACTGCTCAAGAGGCCCCCACAGCAGGGACGAAGGGGGCTGGATACAGTGGAAGGCACTGGGACCGAGGGATTAATCTTCACAAGCACGCGGGGCAGGGGTTTGTTCCCATCCTGGTTTGCTCAGGACAGAGGACCAACGTATCATCTCTGTAAGGGCTTTGATGGGCTTTGAGTCTCCTCCCCTCTCTCAAATCCTCCCTGCCATTCTGAGGAGAAGACTTCCAACCTGAGATTGCTTCTCCAGATTCCCAAGCGTTCTCAGAAAGGTTGGCACGAACGCTCCTACAGTGGCTGTCCATGATTGGCAGCCCTCTCCATGATGACACGGAGGGGACTGTTCCCAGACTGAGCCGTGATTCTGGTCCCGGGTCATCAGCATGTTTGCCAAGGAAAACACATGTCCCAGTCAACCCTGGCTGACCTCTGCCTTCCTTATCCCCCTTTGTCCTGAGCGAGCCAGGCACCTAGGGAAAAGCCAGCTTCTCCGACTTCTCTAGAAGGGGCTTTCATCAACACACATCTTCCAAGCTTCTGGAGCACCAGACCCCACGTGCTGACACCTCCCCAGGAGGTGAAGGAAGGGATGAGGTCTCTGCCCTGTCTGGGAGGGGGTGGGGGGCTCTGGGCAGGACCCCGAGGAGCCTCAGGCTGTCCCATTCCTCAGGTGTGTCTCACATTCCTTCACCCTTCCAGGGAGAGGCCTTTCTTGAAAAGAAAGAAAAGAAGTCTCTCCTAGGGTCAGGTGGAGGAGAAAAAAAATGAGAGACTACAGCAAACGGCATCCAGGCTCCCGAGATGGATGTGGACTCCTGTGGGCCTCTGCTGAATGGGAAGGGACCTCAGGACACACGTAGTGTCAAGAAAAGGCAGGGAGGGAGATATGCTGGGAAGCCCTCGGGAACATCAGTGGTTCTCCAATGGGGACATGTGGCAATATCTGGAAATGTTTTAGTTGTCAGAACTGGTTGGGGGAGGGGGCCCTACTGGCATCTAGCAGGTAGTGGCCAGGATCCTGCTCAACACCCTATAATACACAGCCCCCACAGAAAAGAGTTATCCAGCTCCAGTGTCAATAGTGCCAAGGTACAAAAACTGCTCTAAGCTAAACTTCCAGCCATGTTCTGTTCTCCAAAGGCCCCTTTCAGAGCACAGAGGTAGTCCCATGGACCTCTCCTACACCAATTCCCCCAAAAATTCCCTCCCCAAGTCTTATCTGACAGAACAACTTGGAGGCATTGGGACAGAATAAGAGAGGCGACCCTTCTGGAGGCCAGCCACGAAAAGGCTCCCTCCAACCACTACTGACACACCCCGACTCCCACAAGGGAGGAATCCCAGACTCAAACAATCTTTGGTCAAATGGGAAAACGTAAGGCTAAGCTGAAGGGGCAACCCCTCGACCCCACCTGCCTGGGTGGCCAAAGTTGGGGTAGTTTCTCTTTGCACAGAAGTCCACGCTCATGAACAGACACCGGGACCTCGCTCCCGGGGAAGCCGGGAGTGAAAAGTGGGCTGGGCAGGCGGATGGCAGCTTGGCGGACACGGCCCAGGGGAGCAGGCCCTCACTTGTTCTCGATCAGAGTCTGCACCTTGTACACGAGGTCCCGGGCCAGCTTCAGGACGTGTTTGGTGTTGTGCCGTTCGGCCATTTCTGAAAGAGCAGAAGGCAAGAGCTCATGAGCCTCCTTCTGTGTCCATCCTGGGGCCCCCCTCAAGGCTTCTGGGCGGGAGGGGGGTCTCTGGGGCAGCCCCATCATAACCATCTGGCATCATTCCCAAGCAGAGACCTTGGGGTAAGGCCTGCCCCTTTGGACCCTGGTTTCCTCATCTGTAAAATAGGGGTTACAACAGTTTCTGCCTCACAAGGCTACTGTGAGATCAAACCAGAGATTGTGGGTTCACAGCACGTGCTTGAAAAAAGTTAGGTCTTCCCACCCACCTTATATAAATACCACGACTAGGGACCTTTCAAGAAAGCAAAGCTGGGGGTGCCTGGGTGGCTCAGTCATTAAGCCTCTGCCTTCAGCTCAGGTCATGAGCCCAGGTTCCTGGGATCGAGTCCCACATCGGGCTCTCCGGTTGGTGGAAAACCTGCTTTTCCCTCTCCCTCTGCCCCTCCCCTGGCTTGCGCTCCTTCTCTCACTCTCTCTCAGATAAATAAATAAATAAAATCTTTGGGGAAAAAAAAAAGAAAAAAAAGAAAGCGATGCTGAGCAGAGAGTCAATGTTAAAAGGTACGAAAGAATGAAGCAACAGGAAATGGGAAGGGAGAGGAGAAAGTAAAAATAATAATTTTATTAAGAGCTACATAAAATGATTGGATCTCTAGAGCAGACTAATCCTAAACCTAGATGTTTATCATAAAGAAATCATTTACTAGAAGAAAAAGACACCAAGACCATGGTTCCCAAACTGGCTACCAAGGTACCCCAGGGTGTCATTGGTGAACTCATGAAACTGTGAGGGAGACAGAATGATATTCCACATCTGCTCAATACCTCACAAACCCATAGTACAGGGGAGGTCACAAACTGGACTACATTCCTATCAATGACTTTATATCTTTGCAACACTAGGTTTTCTGCAAGCAGTTGAAGAAAGCAAGTTTGAGAAAAAGCAAAAGAATGTGAAAATCACTGTGGAATAAGAAATAAATGAAGGTACTGGTGCCAATCTAGTTCTAAGGTTTGAGAAGCTACACAAGCCTAACAGGGGCACACATCTCATTAATTGTTATAGTTATTTAAGAATGAAATAAAAATATTTTCTTTTGACTGTGGAAAAGATGGGATGGGGAAGAGAGATTTATTAATGAACCCATTAAATGCCACGTGGTTTCTTGGGTTGGATGCTGGAGCAGAAAAAAGGCATCACCTAAAAACCAAGCCAGGGGCACCTGGGTGGCTCAGTGGGTTAAGCGTCTGCCTTCAGCTCAGGTCATGATCTCAGGGTCCTGGGATCGAGCTCTGTGTTGGGCTCCCTGCTCCTCGGAGAGTCTGCGTCTCCCTCTGCAGCTTCCCCTCCTCGTCCTCTCTCCCTCTCTCTCAAATACTAAAAATCTTAAACAAAAATAGACAAAATCAAATAAAATTTACAGTTTAAAAATAATGTGCCGATGTTAACTTCTTAGTTGTGACAAATGTTTTAGGATCAGGTTAATGTAGAGACATTAGGGATGCCTGGGTGGAGGGTATCAAGAACCCTCTGTACTATCTTTTCAGCTTTCCTTAAATCTAGTTATTCCAAAATAAAATGTTTGTTTTAAAAATAAAAATAAAATAATGTCTCTGGGATGCCTGGCTGGCTCAGTCACGAGAGCATGTAATTCTTTTTATTTATTTATTTATTTTTTGTTTTATTTCATTTTTTTTAAAGATTTATTTATCTGAGAGAGAGAGAACAAGCAAGCACAAGAAAGAGCATAAGAGTGGGGAGGGGCAGAGGGAGAGGCAGGCTCCCCGCTGAGCAGGGAGCCTGATGTGGGGCTTGATTCCAGGACCCTGAGATCATGACCCAAACCAAAGGTAGACACTTCACCAACTGAGCCACCCAGGTGCCCCAGAGTGTGTGACTCTTGATCTCGGGGATGTGAGTTCCAGCCCCATGTTGGGTGTAGAGATTACTTAAAAAGAAAATCTTAAGGGGCATCTAGGTGGCTCAGTGGGTTAAAGCCTCAGCTTTCGGCTCAGGTCATGATCCCAGTATCCTGGGATCGAGCCCCGCATCGGGCTCTCTGCTCAGCAGGGAACCTGCTCTCCCTCTCTCTCTGCCTGCCCCTCTGCCTACTTGTGATCTCTGTCTGTCAAATGAATAAATAAGTAAATCTTAAAAAAAAAAAAAAGAAAAAGAAAATCTTAAAAAAATAATGTTTCTGGGGTAAGGTCAAAGGGGGCTTTTTTTTCTTCTTCTTTTGCTTTTTTTTCAAAATCACCTCTAGGTTTTAAAAAATGTTTAAATAGTGATAATAGGAGCAAGAGCTTCCAGCTCTGGGCCCCTCAGATGAGCTGTGTATCAGTGTGATTGAGTTTGTCCATGTTGTCTCATTAACTGTCCCAACATCTCTGTGAGGGAGGGGTAAGTACCATTCTCCCCCGCCAAGGAATCTGGAGCCCAGAAACAGCAAGTCACTTGCCCAAGGTCACATAGCTCCCAGGTAGCTGGGATCAGAATCCATAGTTGTTTGATTTCAAAGACTGTGCCTGTCTCACATCACTTCAAATGCCTTCCTGGAGCTGCTTTTGGGCCCATCAACCCTCCAAAAGCAGACACTTTGACCCCATTTTACAGATGAGGAAGGGACGCTTAGAAAGAGGGGAAGTGACTTATCCATGGGCACAGCTGGTTAGTGGCAGAGCCAGGGTTCGCCCTGAGCCTGATTTCAACATCCCTGCTCCTTCTGCTAGATTCCTGAGAAAAACACATTCTCCATGTTACAAGATGTCAACTCGTCCATCTGGAAATAGACAGAAGAAGCCGATGGAAACCCTCAGCCCCACCTTATCCCCTCCACCACGTGTCAATCTCAACGCATCTCCCACCCTCTGAGGCCCCAGGAAGGGGCCCGTCAGAAGCCCATAAGCCTCAGATGACACCCTGGTCATATGGGTACCGTTAAAGAATTTGATGATGTCCGTGAAGTCCATATTGTTCTCCAAGATGATGTCCCGGTAGACCTCCACCAGAGCCAGCGCGATGAAGAGGACATAGTGGGTGGATGAGACGTGTTTGGCTGCCCAAATGGTCTCCCAGACAGAGAAGACGTCATCATAGACAAGTTCTACCAACACACCAGCACGCACACGTGTGGGGAGAGGGTCAGCCACTGAGCTCCCAGTGCCACCCTCCCTCTGGGAAAATCCCAGGCCACCTGCGCCCTGTGCTTCTGTCCTCGTGCAGCAGACAGAGCTCAGGTCAGGAGGTAGGAGACCTGCACTCCGCCCCTTGACCATGAGAAGACTCAGTTTCCCTATCTGTAGAGAAGGCTGTGTGGACTGGGGGGTTCTAAGTTTCCAGCTTCTGTGAGGGAAGGAACTGAGCATGGTCAGGTTTGATTTACACTGACTTGTCCCTGCTCTACCCCTTGACTGGCATTCCCCTTTCTGCCTGCACCTTACATCTCCTTTGGCACCCATGAGGTATCCCCTTGCTTCTGAACACAGGCAGAGCTGGCTGCTGGCTCTGGCGCTGGCGCTGGTCAAGAAATAAGAGAGAGCAATGGTGGAGAGCAAGCGTTCCGGTGTCCAGTCACCTCAGTCTGAATCCAGCCCCACCACTTACTGGCAAGGTGACCTTGGGCTAGTCACTTCCCCTCCACCAGCCTCTCCCTCTCCTCCTCCGTAAGTGGGGTGAGGCTTGAGGTGAAAATACATAGAAATGGCTCAGCACACTGCCTGGCATGTTGTTACATGTCGATTGCATGTAACGAACATGTTATCACATGTTTACTAACACTTCCCTGCAGGGGAGCGTCACCCCCACTTTGCAAAGTACCAGGGAGCTGGGCTATACCGCATTTCTAAGTCACACAGGACACATGCCACATGGGGCAAGGGGTGCCTTGCCTCTGATAAGCAGTGTAACAGAATGGAAGGGAACTAACTGGGCTTAGGAGGTGGACAGAGGGGGCCTAAACTCCTGCCTCCACTGGTCCTACATTGGAATTAGATTCTTAGCCTTAGTTTCCTCATCTGTAACCACATCTACAGAGTAGTGTCATTGCAAACCAGGGCAGGTGAGCCAATAGTCAGAACTCGATAAGCGGGTGTTCCTCTCTTCGTCTGGCTGTGTTCTGACACCCCCAGCCTCTCCTCCATGGTCCCTTTCTTCCCCTGAGGTTCTGCTGCAAAGAGCCTGGGAAACAACGCCCCGGTTTGAAGTTAGTACCTCGCTTGAAATCCAGCAGGAACCAGCGGTAGCAGAAGTAGAAGTGGGTGTAGTCCCCGTTCTGATGCATCAGCTCAAAGAGCTCTGAGTCCAGAATCTGCCCACAGGAGAGAAGGCTGGCATCAGCCTCCTGGGAAGAGGCTGGCCGACAGGGATCCCCTGAATAGAGGATGACCCCCTCACTGGACACCACACAGCCCCTACGACCAGGTGGAGTTAAACAATGGGCAAAAGATTTGAAATGAGAACCGACCCAGCTCAGGTCAACTCAGTTGTTTTTCCAAAGAAGAGATGCAAATAAACCATAAAACCCATGAGAGAGGTTCAGCGAATTCGTCAGGAAAATGCAAATCAAAACTCTAAAGAGATACCCCCTCACACCCTCTAGGACAAGAATGGAGAATCAAAAGGACAGACAACAAAGCGTTTGTAGGGGTGGGGAGAAACCGGAGGCCCTGTTGGTGGCTGTGAGGTCACTGCCATGGATGTCACCAAGAGACATGCAGATGGATGGCCATGTGAAACCTGGACACGAATGTTCATAGTGGCACAATTCCCAAGAGCCCAAGAGGAGAACCAACCCAAGGGTCCATCAGTGAATGGCTGCATACACAAAATGTGGCAAAGCCATCCCGTGGGGCATCGTTTGGCAATAAAAAGGGCACGGCTTCCCAAAACCTGCTACCCCACGGATGGACCCCAAAAACTCGCCACTGAGTGAAAGCAGCCAGACACAGGAGACCACGTGTTCTGTTACTGCATTTCTATGAAATGACCGGAATCGGCCATACGGAGACAGTCGACTAGCGGTTGCCGGGAGCTGGGGAGAGGAACAGATGTTACAGTGGTTCCTTTGGGGTGCTGAAGATGTTCTGAAATTCGTGATGGTTTCACCACTGTAATTATGCTAGAAACCACAGGATTTGTATATTTAGAAAGGGTAAACGGCATGGTATGTGAATTATATCTCAATAAAGCTGTGTGTGTATGTGAGAAATATACCCAGATGTTACTTTGAGGAAAAGGACCAGTACAAGCAAACATCTATTTTTTTGGTTAAATTCAGTTAATTAACATATAGTGCATTATTATTTTCAGAGGCAAAGGTCAGTGATTCATCAGTCTTATATAACACCCAGTGCTCATTACATCACGTGCCCTCTTAATTCCCATCACCCAGTTACCCCATCCCTCCACCCCATCCCCTACAGCAACCCTCAGTTTGTTTCCTACGATTAATAAGAGTCTCTTACGGTTTGTTTCCCTCTCTGATTTCATCTTGTTTTAATATTTCTGGCCTTCCCCTATGATTCTCTGTTTTGTGTCTTAAATTCCATAAGAGTGAGATTGTATGATAATTGTATTTCTCTGATTGACTTATTCTGCTTAGCATACTACCCTCTAGTTCCATCCATGTCATTGCAAATGGCAAGATTTCGGTTTTTTGATGGTTGCATAATATTCCATTATATATATATACCACATCTTTATCCATTCATCTCTTGATGGACATGTAGGTTCTTTCCATAGTTTGGCTATTGTGGACATTGCTGCTATAAACATGTGGATGTATGCGCCCCTTTGGATCACTACATTGTATCTTTGGGGTAAATACCCTGTAGTGCAATTGCTGGGTCATAGGGTAGCTCTATTTTTAACTTCTTGGACCCTCCATGCTGTTTTCCAGAGTGGTTGCACCAGCTTACATTCCCAACAACAATGTAGGAGGGCTCCCCTTTCTCCACATCCTTGCCAACACCTGTTGTTTCCCGACTGGTTAATTTTGGCCATTCTGACCAGTGTAAGGTGGTATCTCAGTGTGGTTTTGATCTGTATTTCCCTGACAAGTAAACATCTTTTTAAGGGCCAGAGCCACGTCTTGTTCATTTACGTAGCCATGGCGCCTGGCTCAGTGAGACAGAATGAAGTGGCGTTGATTTGAGCTAACGGAGTCAGAATGAACTGAACTGAGTTAGACTACGCGTGGCTGGTCTGTTGATGTAGGGAGCTCTGGGCTGAGGGGAAGAAGCTATATGATTGAATAGGACTGGTCATACCTGGATCAGAGACCTCATGTTGGCAAAGTGCGTGTCCATGGCACCTCCGTGGGGGAAGTTCTGGTTCATCCGCTTCATCAGCTCCGTGAAGCAGCTGAAGGCAAGGGCCTCTGGGGAAACAGCACAGGAGAAATGGTCACCTCTGCCACTGCCCAAGGAACCCGAGCTCCCAAGGTGATCCCAAGGTCGAAGGCCCCAAGCTGGCTCATGAGGTCCACAGCCAGAGGAGAAACACACAGACGAGGGAGAGCCAGTGTACCCCACTTGAGGGAATGTTCTTTAGTCTTAACCACATGCTTTCTACTCTTGAGAGGTTGAATAGCCCTTCTTTTAGCACATACAGGTCTCCTCTCTCTCAGGGCTCTTTTTGGCCAGGACTGTTTCTCAGGCTTCCCGTTTCTCATGACCTTGGAAGTTTCGAGGGCAGTTGCCACGTATTCTATGGGAGGCTTCTCTATTGGAATTTTCTGATGTTTTTCTCACAATGAGATTGGGATTTGGGGTTATTGGGAGAAGGGCCACATGGGTAACAGGCCATTTTATTTTATTTTATTTATTTATTTTTAAAGATTTTATTTATTCATTTGACAGACAGAGATCACAAGTAGGCAGAGAGGCAGGCAGAGAGAGAGGGGGAAGCAGGCTCCCTGCCGAGCAGAGAGCCCGATGCGGGGCTCGATCCCAGGACCCTGAGATCATGACCCGAGCTGAAGACAGAGGTTTAACCCACTGAGCCACCCAGGTGCCCCAAACTCACCATTTTAAATGTACGGCTCCAATTTTTAGTATAATTCTCAGAACTGTGGAACCATCCTCTAGAAGGTCAGAACATTTTCCTCGCCCCCAAAAGACACCTCCACACATCAGCAGTTATGGCCCATCTCCCTCTTCCCCCAACCCCTGTCAGCCATTAATCTGTTTCCTGTTTCTATAGCTTTGTCTCTTCTGGAAATTTCTAATAAATGGAACCATGCATTATGAGGAACTGCCACGCTGCCTTCTAAAATGTCAAACTTTTTTTTTTTTTTTAAGATTTTATTTATTTGACAGAGAGAGACACGCGAGAGAGGGAACACAAGCGGGGGAACAGGAGAGGAAGAAGGAGGCTTCCTGCCGAGCGGGGAGCCTGATGCAGGGCTAGATCCTAGGACCCCAGGATCGTGACCTGAGTTGAAGGCAGGCGCTTAACAACTGAGCCTCCCAGGCACCCCAAAATGTCAAACATTTTCAATCCCACTAGCAAAGTACAAAGGCGCTGCTGTCTCCATATTATCACTAACATGTAACAGTTTGCATTATTTTGATTCTAGTCATCTTAGTGGGTGTGCAATGGTATCTCACTGTGGTTTTCATTTGCATGTCCCTAGTGATGAAAGATAATGAGCATCTTTTAATAGGCTTACTGGCCAACTATATGTCTGTTCTGTTGAGAAATGTCTATCCAAACCTTTGTCCATTTTTCATTGGGTCATTTCCCTTTTTATTGTTGAACTGTAAAAGCTCTTTACATATCTTAGATATAAGTCCCTTATATTATACATGTGATTTGCAAGCATTTTCTTCAATTCTTTGGGCTCTCTTCATTTTCTTGAAGGTGTCCTTTGAAGCACAATAGTTTTTAATTTGGGGCAAGAATAATTTGTTTTTAATTTTCTCACTTTGTTCTTTTGGTGCCATATCTAAGAAACCACTGCTTAACACCCAAAGTCATTAAACCAAGGTCACAAAGACGTATGCCTTTGTTTTCCTCTAATAATTTTATCGTTTCAACTCTTATATTTGGGTCTATGGTCCATTTTGGGTTAGCAGTTTTGCATATAGTATGAAGCATGAGTCTGACTTCAAGCTTGTGCGTGCAGATGCTTGGTTGTTTCAGCATCATATGTCGGAAAGACTCTTCTTTCCTCACTGAGCTGAAATGTCTCAGCACCCTTGTCAAAATCACCTGATGTAAATGTGTGAGAAACACTTATTTCCAGACTTCCAATTTTATTGTACTGATCTATGTGTCTATCCTTGGGGAAGTACCACACTCTCTTGATTACTCTATTGTAGTAGGCTTTGAAATTGGGAACTGTGCACCCTCTAACATCTTCTTTCTCCAAACTGATTTTGCTATTCTTGGTCCCTTGCATTTTGAATTTTTGGGTCAGCTTGCCCATCTGTACAAAAAATGCAGCTGGGGTGTTGGTAGGGATGGTAGTAAATTTTGATCAGTTTGGAGAGAATGGCCAACTTAATACTGCCAAGCCTTCTGGTTCATAAACATGAGGTGTCTTTCCATTTATTTTGATCTCTAACTTTTTAAAGAAATTTATTTATTTGAGACAGAGTATACGAATGTGTAGGGGAGGGGTAGGAGGAGAGGGAGAAGCAGGCTTCCCACTGAGCAGGGAGACCACCGGGCTCAACCCCAGGACCCTGGGATCATCACCACCTGAGCCAAAGGCAGACACTTAACCGATTGAGCCACCCAGGCACCCCTAGCTCTTAAATTTTGTTAACAACGTTGTACAGTTTTGGTATACAGGCATACTTTGTTTTATTGTACTTTTCTGATATTGCTTTTTTTTTTTTAAACAAATTGAAGGTCTGTGGCAACCCTGCATCAAGGAAGTCTATCTATCAGCACCATTTTTCCAACAGAATTTGCTCCCTTCTTGTCTCTTCATCACATTTTGGTAATTCTTGCAATGTTTCAGTCATTTTCATTATTATTATATTTGTTATGATGATTTGTAATCAGTGATTATGACAATAGCTCAGATAATGGTTAGTAATTTTTTATCAAAAAGGTGTTTTTAGGGGTGCCTGGGGTGGCTCAGTATGTTGGGCCTCTGCCTTCAGCTCAAGTCATGGTCTCAGGATCTTGAGATCGAGACCCGTACTGGGCTCTGCTTAGCAGGGAGCCGCTTCCCCTTCTCTCTCTGCCTGCCTCTCTGCCTACTTGTGATCTCTCTCTCTGTGTCAAGTAAATAAAAAAATCTTTTTTTAAAAAAAAGATTTTATTTACTTATTTGACAGAGATCACAAGTAGGCAGAGGCAGGCAGCGGGGGGTCGGGGGGGAGGCGGGAAGCAGGCTCCCTGCTGAGCAGAGAGCCCAATGCGGGGCTCGATCCCAGGACCCTGAGATCATGACCTGAGCTGAAGGCAGAGGCTTAATCCACTGAGCCATCCAGGCGCCCCAATAAATAAAATATTTTTTTTAATAAAGGTATTTTAAAATTAAGGTATATACATTATTTTTCTAGACATAATGCTATTACACACTGAACAGACTACAGTGTAGCGCAAACACAACTTGCATGTGTGTTGGGAAAAGAAAAAATTCATTTGACTCACTTTAATGCAATATTTGCTGTATCATAGTGATCTGGAATTGAACTTGTAAATCTTTCACTTCTTCTGTTAAATTTATTCATAAATATCTTCTTTTAGATGCTATTACAATTGGAACTGTCTTCCTCATTTTGCTTTTCGATTGTTGAATGCAAGTGTACAGAAGTGCAACTGACTTTTGTATATATATCTTATATGTCACAACCTTGCTGAACTTTTAAAATTAGCTCCAATACTTTTTTGTGTGTGGGGGGGGACAGTGGGAGAGGGAGAGAGAGGATCCAGCATAGAGCCTGACATGGGGCTCGATCTTACAATGCTGAGATCATGACCTGAATCAAAATCAAGAGTCAGATGCTAACAGATTGAACCACCCAGGCGCCCTGCCAATACTTTTTTCTTATTCCTTGGTATTACTATATGCAAAAATCACATCATCTGCAAGTAGATAGCTTTACTTCCTTTCCAGTACAGCTACCTTTTATTTCTTTTGCTTCCCTAATTGTCCTGTCTAGAACCTTTTGTAGCAAAAGTGGACATCCTTGTCTTTTTCCTGATTGTAGGAGGAAAGCATTCAGTCTTTCACCATTGAGTATGAATTAGCTGTAGGTTTTTCTTACATGCCTTTTATCACGTTTAGGAAGTTTCCTTCTATTCCTAGTTTGTTGAGTATTTTTAACATGAGATAGTGTGAGATTTGGCCAAATGCCACTTTGTCATCAACAAAGACAACTGTGTCATTTTTGTCCTTTATTCTATTAATATAGTGAATTACATTGATTGATTTTCATTCATTAAACCAGTCTGCATATGATGAGAATTCTGTGTCTCTTGGTCACGGTATATATAGTCCTGTTGTATCTTTCTGGATTCAGTTTGCAAATGTTTTACGGAGGATTTTTACCTTTATAGTCATAAAGGACATCAGTCTGTAGTTTTCTTTTCTTGTGATGTCTTTGTCTGGTATTGGTATCAAGGTACTGATGGGTCCTCATGTAAGGAATGGTCTTACAGAATGAGTTGGAAAGCATTCCCTCCTATTCTACCATTTGGAAGAGTTTGTGAAAGATTGCTATTATTTCTTTTTTAAGTGTTCGGTAGATTCACCATGAAGGCACCTGGGCCTGGGTTTGTCTTTGTCCGCATTCACATTTGTACAATCAGTGGCTAGGAAAGGCCTGGCTGGGTGTTGGGCACCTGGCAGTAAGTGCTGGCTAATATGGAACAACAAGACTTTCTATTTCACTGGGACCTTGGTGTGTTCACCAACAGGTCCTCAGAGCACCTGCACTGACCCATTCCGTGGAGTCACAAAATGAGGTTAACCTCCCCTCCTCTGCAGTAGGAAGAAAATTTGTGCCCCTGGACATGGAGCGGGGAGGACATACTCACCGTCATCCAGGATGACCAGCAGTGGAGCCAGGAGGTCACACATGCCCTGGACATAGCCGGTCTCAATGTGTTGCCAGATGTAGCTACAAGAGAGAGACCAGGGGCCCAAGGTTGGCATTCGTGACCCGTCTCTCCAACCTAGTAGTCCTCTCCCTTCTCCCTGGCATGGTCCCCCATCTCTCACCTGGACCACTCACTCCTTGAGGTCCCACCTGCATCCCCTGCGCCCGTCTGACACTCTTCAAACATCCTATTCTCAGCAACCACAATGGCCTTCCTAAATCTCAACTCAAAACCCCACATGCTCGCAGGTTCCCCGCTGCGACAAGACGATAAACAAACTCCATCACTGGGGTTACAAGGCATTCAGCGTCATCCCCCAATCCATCTTCATGTCCCCGCCACGACCTCCTGGTACTTCCTCCTCTCTGGCACACATTCATGCCCCTGTGCTTTGCCCTAGCTGTTCCGTACCTGGGGTTCCCATCTGCCCCTTATTTAATAAGAACTAATTTTTACTGAGCATTTACTGTATACTCAGCCACTGAACATGTGTTGCACCATGAAGTTCTCAAAATAATCGTATGAGAAAGGTATTATCATATTCCATTTTACAGATGAGGAGACTGAGGCCCAGAGACATCAGTAACATGCATAGAGTCATACACCTGCTAATAAATGGCAGAGGCAGGATTTGAACCCAGGTAGCCTCACCTCAAAGCCAAGTGGTTTCTTGAGTCTCTCCTAATTTTGCCAAAGGCCATCTTGAATGTCACCTCCTGTGAGGCCTTCCATGTTTTCTCCCAAGGCCATACCCCAGAAAAAGCTGGTCTATCCTTTCTTCCCCAGTACCTCTTCATTTTACTGTATTAAAGTTCCTTATATTTGTATCTCCTCAACTCAGTTTTGAGAGAGAATGATTGCTTAGGAGAGTGCAAAATTGAATAGTTAAGAGATAGTACTTATTAATAAAAATGCGTTAGAGCAAGGGTCGGCAACCTTTTCCTGAAGATCCAGATAATAATTATTTTCTGCTTTGCATGCTGTATGTGCTCTGTCTGAACTACTCAATTCTGCAGAAGCAGTCACAGATACTACATGAACAAATGGGCATGGCTGAGTTCTAATTTATTTACAAAATGGGGGTGGGCTGGATTTGGCCTGTGGGATATACTACTAGTTTGTGAGCTCCTGAGTTAGAGTAGCAGGGAGAGATGGCCAGGATGCATTCTCACGTGTATAAAGCAAGTTGTAGAAAACCCAGTATTAATCCCATATGGGTAAAATATAAAAAAGTTAAAACACATACACACGCGTGTGATATTATATATATGATCTATTGTGTTATTTTACACACATAATACACAGATGGCTTGGGAGGATGTTTATTCAATTGTTAGCAGAGTTTCTTCTAGCGGAGGGGGCATTATGACTGGAGAGAGAAGCAGTTTCTCTTTAGATCTTATGAACTTCTGGATTTGCTGATAGAGGTTTTTAATAAGCCCGAGTTACTTCCATATTTTAAGAAATAAGATACTCAGTGTGTAGTGAAAAGTAATAAGAAGCTCCAGGTCTTGGCTTAAGGAAATAAAGGACAAGATTCTAGAACCTGAGAGAGAGGGGTATGAGCTCCTGTTCAGCCAACTGCCCCCACTGGGGGACTCGAGCAGTGTGGTAGCCCTCCACTTTTGTTTCCTTCCCTGCAGATGGGGGAATGTTGACCCTACAGCCTTGCTGTGTGGGCGAGGCGTAACAGCCTTAGTATGGGGCTCAGGGGAGTGCCTGGTATACAGTAAGTGCTTAATAAATGCTCTGTTGTTATCATTGCTCTGGTTGTTACCTTACTGTCAATGTGGCATGGTATAAACAAGTGGGCAAGGAGACAGCGGCAGAGGCTGCCATCTGGCTGGGTTCCCTGGGCCCCCTGCGTCTGCCACCCCTGGCCGCGCCCACAGACCTCCTCCCCTCAGCCACCTGCACATGATGTTCCGCAGTTTCTCCAGATTGGCGGGCGTGAAGTACCAGTAGTTGCGGTCACACCTCTGCACGTCCTTCTCGATGCGGTGCAAGTTCACCGTGTACAGGTCCAGGAGCTCCGGCTGCAGGCCCCGGGGGAGGGGAAGGAAAGGGCGATTACACTCCCACTCCTCCCAGAGGTCGGATGCCAGAGGTTCTCCCTCTGCCCTCCTCACCCTCTCCTGCTGCCCCTGAAAAGCATCTCCTCTCCTGGGACCAGGTGGGTGTTTCATTTTGTTTCTGTTGTTGCCTCTGAAAGCCTCTTTTTACTTCTTATGATGAGAGTTCTTTGGCTTTTCCCCCTTCAATGAAACAAGACAACTCTGGAAGGTGCACAGACTAACTACCCATTGAGTGGATGAGGGTCGTAACTAGCTGGAGGTGCACCCCCACCCCCCCCATACCCGACAGGAAGAATGGAGGAAGCGAGCAGGAGTCCAGTTCCGGCCATACGCTGGACTTGCTGCCCTTGACCCTTCCTGAAAACAAGGTGCAATGATATGGCAAGAAAAATATGGGAACATTTCAAGGCCAAAATTTAACCCACAAAGGCAAGTAAATGCCAAATCTGGCTCTTGCCTTGAAGGAAGCTTCCAAATGGGCAAAACAGAAGCTTGGGTTGAATGGTTTTGGGGTCCTTGTACCCTAAGGTAAGGAATCGAATAAGAGACTCTCCTGCATTTAAGGTGGGACCCCCAAGGACCCGAATCCCTGGTAAGGGAAGCCTGGAAGAAAAACTAACATTTGGGGTCTCAAGGACAGCGGCCTGTCTTGAATAGAGGGCTCAAGTGAAATGTAAGTATGTCCCCCTGGATAATTAAGAGTTTCAGATCAGGTTTATAACGCACTCAGGTGTGTAACCCGGAAGCGAAAGTAAGCTCCCTGTGAAGATGGAGAAAAAAATCCCAGATGACAGCTGTGCATCAGAAGCCGTGGACCAGGGAAGGCCACTGGAGAGACTTCTCGAGACATAAACACGAACAGAAAACGTCACGTGTCTGGATGTTCCAAGAGAGATTGAGACCACTGGCAGAGTCTGGAGGCTGGGGTTGGGGGTTGGTGGGGGTGAACCATGATTTATATGTGGCAAACATAGGAAAGGAAAACAGAGACAAGGAAATGAAAACATATCTGGGGGAAACAAAAATTCTTTTTGTGGGAAAGAAAAAAATAAATATAGCTTCCTACATGGTATATACATTATTATGTTTTCTAGTGTGAACCATAAACAGTCATTTAACTAAAATTATTATAACTGCAGTGGATGGATGGAGCTGGGAAGGTGCCCCTGGTGGGGTGGGGGTGCGGGTGTGGACTATCTGGAATTGAAGAAAAAGGAAAAAAAAAGATCAAGAAGTAGCAGTACAAGGATGTTATTGGCAGACGTGGGGGTAAAGGCCAGATAATTTGGGCAGAGTAAGTCATTGTGATGGCCTCTGGGGAGAGCTCCACGGGGGCAGGGCGGGTGGGGAGCACTTCTGGTTTCCTTATTTGGCCTTGTCTGTTTCACTCTGTCAACTATGGGCATGCATATCTTAGATAGAAATAACAAGGTCTTTAAAGGAAAATGGAAACACCGTGCCTGGCTCAGGAAACCTCCTGTTCAGTTGACATCCTTTGGCTTGGATTTTCTGGCAAGAAAGCAAGCTTGAGTATTTAAGATGCTGACTTGAGTGTACGCCAAGCGGCTCATCCTCGAGGCTGCTACAGACTGAGGGCTCACTGCACGTCGGGCACTGAGGACTGGACTCACTAATTCTGAGAACAGCCCAAGAGGGAAAGTACCCAACTGATGGGGAAACTGAGGCTCAGAGAGATTAAAGTGACATGCGTCAGTTGGGATTGACCCTGGGACAGCTGGAACGGCATAGCCTGTGCTCTTGTTTTCCCTCCCAAAGGGGCTTCTCCAGAGCAGCATCCGTGCTGGGGAAAACTGTAACAAACCAGAGATCATGCTGGGAAACTGAGGCTCATGGGACACGCCCACTCTCCCGTAGCTGTTAGGTAAGAAAACCGAGTGCGGGAGAATCCTGGAGACTTACAGAGTAAGTGACGCCACTGGAAGACACAGGCGACGCCTCGTTGTTGGCGGACGTGGCCACGGCCAGAGAAGCCAGGGCGGGAAAGAGGCTTTCCATCTCAGGCTCTTCTGAGAGGTTGTCTTCGCTGTCCACCTGGCTGTGCTTCTCCACCTCGCTGCCCCCCCAGCGCTCCATGGCGGCCCCCTCCTTCTCGGGCAGGGCCACGTCCATGCTGCCGGTGAGGGACATGAACTCGTCCATGCTCTCGTTGGCGAGGAGGTCGCTCTCCAGACTGTCCTGCACAGCCAGCTCCTCGCGGGGGGCCTCATCTCGGGAGGTGGTGGCCTCGCTGCTCTGCCCATCATCCACGCTGCTGTCCCCGGGTCGACGCGCCAGGGGGGTGTTCCGCTGGGCGTCCATGACGCTGTCTTCTGTGCTCAGGCTGGGCTCCGAGTGCTCTGAGAGGCCCGAGGAGAAGTTGTGGGAAGAGGGATGGCCAGAGTCCGGGGAACAGGTGCCATTCGCCAGGCTCCCATTGTGGATCTTGGGCTGTTTCTCCTCCAACCTGCCTTCTGCCTCTACCTGTTCCACTTCATCTACAGACTCAAACACCTGAAGACCAGGAGCACAAGAACGGAGAGACGAGGATGTCCACTGGGATATTGCTTCTGCAACGACCTAGATCTCTGTCAGCAGGGGACTCATTCAAATACAGAACATGCATGTGGAATACTATACAGCCAGAAAAAAGGGTAGGGGAGGGAGCCAGGCATAATATGGGCTCCCGTTGTGAAAAATTAAAAAGTGGCCTATTGCATGGAAACGCATGGAATAATCCAGAAATAAGGCAGCATTGAAATTGCCTGAGGAGGGAGCACCAGGCATTCAAGTGGCAAGGAGTGTACTTTTCATTGCACAAAATTATAGGTATATAGTTTTTTACGTAAAAAAATAGTTAAAAACATAAGGAACAGGCTAAAAACAGCATAGTATATTCACGTGATTGGCTATTATGGATCGGTTTCCAGAAGTAGTTAGAGATGTGTGAACCACTATGGAAAAGCCTCCAGGATCCATCTCGAGGATTTATTTGTGGTTGGTTGTGTCCTGAGGTCATATCCTATCAAGGATATAAGACCACATTCCAAAGGAAAATGAACTATTTCTTCACTGTGTTTAGGTCACCAACCTGATTTGCTGTTAAAATCACGTTTTTGGTTTTTAAAAATTTGATTCAATTGTTTTAAATTATGTAAAAAAAAAATGTTTTTAACTCCAAAGTTGGAACTAGGAAACAAGGGATATTCAGGGAAATGTAATTTCTTTTCCTGTGCCCTCCTCTGATTCCTGTAGGTAATGATTCCGATTCATTTTTGGCTTATTCATCCATTGTTCTTGAAAATTGGTATATTAATATTAATATTTCCTCTTGTTATGCAAAAGGTGACATAGTAAGCATATTTGCAGGGCTTTGCTTTTTTATTTAATATCCAGTGAGATGAGTTAACATTTCACTGAATAAAACGGAAAGCTGTGGACCAACACATACGACGGCATTTATGTAGAAATTTTCAAAAATTACCAAACATTGCAATATATGCTTTATGTACTATATATGTATTTCTGCGTATGTACAGGCAAGCAGTGGGGGCTGACAGGACACACAGAAAATGATGCTATTTCTAGGGAGGGCGAGTGGGGATTACGAATAGTCAAAGCCAAATTTAGCTTTCTCTGAAATATTTTAATTTTTTACAGGGAGAAGAGATTCATATATTACTTGTGTTAGCTAAAAACTCCATTTTTAATGCTAGTATAAAAAGCAAAAAATTTTAAGTGACCTGTAGGTGATGGACACCCAATCCCTTTACTCCATGTTGGAGGGAGTGGGTGGGTGACGGGAAGAGGAAGATGGGAAAGGGGCTGGGCCTCCAGAAGGTCACCTGTGTGCTGGTGCTGGAGTCACTCTGCAGGCGGACATGCTGGCGGCCGGAACTGCAGCTCTGGGAAGACTGATAGAAAAAGGGGCCAAGAGAACAGGGGTGAGGCTGTATCCCGTCTCTGGGGCCCTGAGGGCCCTGCTCTCAGCTCAGGCAGGGATTCCCCAAGTGTGGTCTCATTTCTGTTCCTGACTTGGGCAAGTCCCCTCAGGGCCTAGCCTCCTATTTGCACACTGAGAAGTGGGGGAGGTCTCCCTCTGCTCCCTGGAGCCTTTGGGGCCACACAGAAGGCACAGGACCCCAGCTCTCACTCCTGCAACTGGAAAACCTTACCTTTTACTGCCTTGTACTTGATTCTGGCTAATATTTAAGTTCAACTCCAAGTGACTGGTTGGCACGAGTGACTTGATTTTTTGTAATTCCCCTCTCCATTGATAAGCTTTTGCCGTATGACTTCTAGTTCCTGCCTACCTGGATGCAGGGCTTGGCCCTGTGACCTACTTTGGCCAGTGGGATGTTAGCAATCTCGACAGGGCAGAGGTTTCACCAGCCCTTGTGCGTTTTCACTTTGTCTCTTTACAATCTGTGTTCACGATGAGAATGTGCCGAGCTCAGCCTGCTAGAGGATGGGACATGTGGATCACAGCCGGGGCACCCCAGACATGGGAGAGAGCAACAAACCTTTCTGCTGACCAGGCACTGACAGCGGGTGCCAAGAGTGAGCCCAGCCAGCCCTGCTCAGAAGTGCTTGCCTGGGCCACACCCATGAGTACACATTCAGTGTCTACTGCTAGATGTCACTGGCTTTGGGTGGTTGCTTGCTATGCTAGGGAACATGATTGCTGGCAACTGATGAATGTACATCACTGGGGAAGAGAATTAACTTTCTTCTCAGCGCCTTCTTTGGGCTGCTGAACTGGAGGTTCTATAAGAGCGGAGAGTTCTGACTTGGCTGCTGGAGCGTTCCTGACATTTCAGGACATTCCCAACTGTCTCTGGCATACGGTAGGTACTCAATGAGCATTTTCTGAATACATGAAAGTCTAGCATGTGCTAATTACATGCAAGTGCTAGGAGCTTTGCAGGCACTATCTCAGGTGAGCTGCACACAAACCTCCCCTATGTAAACGGTTGTTCCCATTCTATAGATGTGGAAACTGAGGCCCAGAAGTGAAGGTGGTTGCTTGAGGTCTCCCCTGCCCCCCAAGCCAGGAAATGGTGATGTTGGATTCAAACATGGGTCTGTCCAACTCCACGGTCACCTCCCACCCAAATGCTAGGGGTGACGGTTCCAGACACCCAGCTGTCATCATTCCTACAATAGCTAAACAGAGCAGATCCCGGCCTTTACTGCCCCCCTGACCCTGTGCTCCCGGATGGGTGCCGCCCATCACCTCGTTGCTGATGGTGGAGTCCCGGTGCATCATCTGGTGCAGGTGGCTGTCCAGGCTGGCCCCCGATGAGCACTTAGCCAAGGCAGCTGCATGGGACTCCCGCTCCCTCTGCCTCACGATCGCCTCGCAGCCCAGCCATTCGGCCATGGTCTGTGCATAGCACGCGTGAATCTGCTCATCCACCTGCCAGGGCAGAGGCAAGGTCACCCCTGGGGAGAGCCAGCCCAAGCCAGAAGAGGATGCTAGCCCTGACCTGGGACCCTGAGCCCCAAAGACAGGCAGCCATCATTCATGAACAGCCATGGATGTTAACGGAACACCTACTATGTGCAGGACACTGGGTAGGCCCTGGGGGTACACAAACGTACACGAGGCCACTTCTTTCTTTAAATATTTCCTTCCTCCCTTCTTTTCTCCATGCATTCATTCATTCATTCACACATTCAAATATCTGTGGAAACTCTACTCTGCCAGGCAGCATACTAAGCCAAGGGGGTACTGAAGTGAGAGGACTGTTTATTTCCCTTTCTTATTAGCTTTTCTCCTTCCTCATTCACTCGTTTGCCCATATTTCTGGAATCACCTACAATGGGCTAGGTACCACACTAGGCATAGGAGAAACAAGATGAGCAGGGTGCCCCCTCCATCCATCCATCTACTCCCTCCACACATTTATGAGAGCCTCCCCTGTACCCAGTGTGGGGCCAGGAGCAGAGGATACAAAGATGAACAAAATCAGCCTCTCCCTTTACTCCTGCAATGGCCTTAGAGAAGGGCTACAGATTTCAAGCATTTTCATTTTCCGTGTGGTGGGAGAGCAGCTTGTATTGTTCCTGATACATGGCCCAGGGAACTGAGGTCCTGAATCTGCCAGGCCTCCGGCACAGGTGGGGGCAGACAGGCTGATCTAAGGGTGTGGAGGGGCACGAAGAAAGGGCAGGGAGACTGCCCCAGGCTGGGCTGGGAGGAGTGGGGAATCCTTTATCTATTCAGGGCTTCCAGAGAGAGGCTCGGGGTCCACCCTGCCCAGACAAAGGCCTGTCCTCCTGCCCACTGACTCCAGAAGATTTGTCCTAGCACATCTCCCCATTCCTACTACCTTCCTAGACTAGGTTTCCATGACCGTGCACCAGGACGACCCCAGGAACCTCCTTCCCAGAGCCTGCTTGTCCCAGCCTGGTCAAGGCTTGTCCCAGTCTTCCTCTTTGTTTCCCTCCCAGCCCCACCTCTGTCATCCCCACCTTCCTGTCCTTTATGTTCCAGCCACATGCCCACCACACACTTCCCGCCCCTCCCACACAAACCCACAGAGATACACTCCCACACCGCACCATGCACGAGTCTGCCCTCGGGGTTTGCTCATGCTGGCCCCTCTTCATAGAGGGCCTTCCTCACACCCCTTGCCTGCAAAGTGAGCAGGGAGCCTTCTGCCTGACACTGCTGCCTCCCATGGACTCTTAACAACCCCTGGGTTTGCCTCCATCTGACTTTGCACATTCACTAAACTAGCAAGGACCTCATCTAACGCACCGCTGGGTCTCTGGTCCCAAGCACAGGTCCTGGCACCTGAGAATGCTGTTCCTGTTTGCCAGGAGCCCAGCAGGCAGGGGGTGAAGCATAGTGGGGATCTCCTGCTGTTCCCGAGACAATTTTAGACAATTCACTGGCATGGGGTCTTATCATACGGAATCACAGTGTAGTTTCTATTTCCAGCTCCCCTTTAAGTCTTTGGATTATGGGGAAGGTCAGTCTGGTGCCACAGTGTCTTGAACATCTCCTTTAACACTTCATAATCCCCATTTCTGACAATGAGAGAGCAGCCCTTAGGCAAGCTATGGCATCTACGTGGGACTGATTTATGCCCTTTCATCATATCCTATTTATTTTTTTGGTTTCCTTCTATTATGGCAAATCATGTCAGTATTCCATTGATGGCAGGGATATCAAATATCTTTTTCAATAAGCTATACACACAGTGAGTCAATTTACTGACAAATACACAATAGCAAAGTGGGTACATGGGTATGGAATGTCAAATACCACCAGATTTTAAGAACTTAGTCTGAATAAAAGAAGGGAGAATCTCTCAATAATTTTAATATTGATTACATGCTGAAATGGTAATTTACTGCGTATGTTGGGTTAAATAAAAATTTAGTATTAAAATTAATATAATCTTGATGAAATGATGTAGACCTAACCCCCCCCACACACGTGCACATGTGTGCACACAAGCATATGCACACATATACACACATACACACACACATGCATGTGCACACACATGAACACACAAACTAATGCAGAAGCTGGTGAAATCCTAGTGAGGTCTGCAGTCAAGTGAGTCCTATTGTACCAATGCTAATGCCCTGGCTTTGGGAATGGGCTACTGTTCTACATGATGTTTCCATTAGGGAAAGCCAAGTGAGGGGTATGGCAGGACCTCTTTGTTACAGTTTTTGCAATTCCTCGTGAATTTATCATTTAAAAAAAAATATTTATGGGCATCTGTTTCTTTCTACTTTTCAAAACGGGACTACTACTAACACATTCACTGAACAATTAAGATGAACACAGGTGCCCCAGGTGGTATCAGCTGAAGATGGCTCACTGTGGGGTGGTATTAGATCAATGGAACAGAATGGGGAAGCCACACTAATGTGCCCAACTGATGGCTGACAGGGGTGCAAAAGCAATTCAATGAAGGAAGGATGGCCTTTCTGTCAAATGGTGCTGGAGCCACTGGACATCACAGGCCAAAAAATGAACCTTGACCAAAACCACCCACTATATACAAAAATGAGCTCAAAATGGATCTCAGGCCTAAATGTAACACGTGCAACTACAAAACTTTGAGAAAAGAAACATAGGAGAAAATCTACAGGATTTAGGGCAAACTAAGCAAAACGTTCTTAGACTCGACACCAAAAGCACAGTGTATATGAGGAAAAATTGATAAGCTGAACCTCATAAAAAATTTAGAAATTTGTTCTGCACAAGATCCCATGAAGAGGGTGAAAAGACAAGACACAGACTGGGAGAAAATATCTGCAAACCATTTATCCAATAAAGAAAGAATATCTAGAGCATATAAAGAACTTCCAAATGCAACAGTAGAAACCCAAACAATTCAGCTAGAAAACGGACAAACGATGAGAGCAGACACTTCACCAAAGATACACAGGTGGCAAGGAAGTGTGTGCAAACATGTTCAACATCACTGGCCATTTGAGAAATGCAAATTAAAACCACAAGGAAACATCCTTTACACCTGTCTAGGTGGCTAACATAAAAAAATAGCAACAAGACCAAAACTCCAGGCGGGATGCAGGTGTGGCTCACTCGGATATTGCTGGCGGGACTAGAAAATGGTTCAGCAGCTACAAAAGCTTGACAGTTTCTTCTGAAATGAAGCATGTGTACCATGTGTCCCAGCAATTGTACACTTGAGCATTTGATGATGACTAATGCCCCCATGAAAATACGAATGTTCACTGCAGCTTTCTCGGCAATAGCCCAAACTGGGAAACAACTCACCTATCCACCAACAGGTGGGTAGTCACACTGTGATGCACCCAGGCCGTGAATACCATAGAACTCTTGGCCACAGAAAGGATAGACTGCCAGAGGATTATGCTGGTTGAAAAAGTCAATCCCAAAAACTTATATACTACGTGATCCCATTTATACAACATTGTCAAAATGACAAAACTGCAGGAAGAAAGAACTGAGTGGTGGTTGCCAGGTGTTAGGCTGGGAGGTGTGGCTTAAAAAAGGGGAACGTGAGGACCCTGTTGGCACCAGAAATGTTCAGTATGCTGACTGTGGTGGTGATAACACACACACACACACACACACACACACACACACACACGTCAAGGCCCTGACTGTGATATTGTATTACAGTTTTGTAAGATGCCACCATTGGGAGAAATTGGATAAAGGATACACGAAATCCTTCTGCATTATTTCTTGTAACTATCTGAATCTATAATTATCTCCCAAAATAAAATTTTAAACAATGGTATCTGTAGCCTGCATCACTTTTCTAGGGAACAGCCATGCCCTGGAGCTTCCTGGCTCCCCCATGCTCCCCTGCCCCATCTTGGTCCAGTATGAAATTAGAGCACCCCCAGCCCCACGGCCCCTTGCTCCTTTAGTTGCCAAAGACCCTCCTGCCAATCAGGGGTCACCAACCTCCTTCCGTTCTGTTTCTGTCATCCCAAACTGGTAGTGGCCCAGGAGGAAGGGCCACACGGCCTTGCGGATCTCTGGCTGGATACCCCCATAGTAGATAAGGCGTAGCAGCTCCTGTTCCTCGTAACTCTGTGGTTGGTGGGAAGAAGGAAAGGGTTTGGTCAACAGAAAACCAGAAGGAGGGCTCTATGAGCTGGCAGTCCCACTTCTCAGACCTGGCCTTTAGAGATCATGGTGTGTGAATATGCAAAGCCGTGTGTACCAGGATATCCACCCTGGCATCATATGAGAAAAGCCCCAACTGCTCACTGATAGGGAAACAATGTATCCCTACCTGAGGATAGGTAGGGATGGAGGTGCATCCATGAGAACTGACACAAAAAGATGTTCAAAGTATATTGTCAACTGGAAAAAAAAAAAACAAACCACCAAGATGCAGGACGTATCTAGCGTGAACCCATTTTTCTGCAAAAAACCCCAAAAGGCCAGTATAGAATGAATTAGCATTTCTACTTAATTTTTAGTCAATTTTGTGCATTGTGTTGATATGGCAACATTATCTCAAAGTTTTTAATCTTGACTCAGCACAAAGAAAATTGTTTAAAAGTAAATTGATCCAAAATGAACATTTCCAGCTGGTTCTTCATGCACTAATAATTTCTGTGCACACTAGGATGACTTTAACAACTGTCTACTGTATTGTCCAATAGATTTGCCCTCTTTTTAAGAACTCATTTTCAGGCAAAGGCTTTGCAGTTATAATTAGTCCGGTTGGGGGACCAGCAGGTCCTATTTGTTCATGTTTGTGTGTGTGTGTGTGTCTGTGTGTCTGTGTATGGAAAATACCAATGACTATTAGAAAGCTACTCTGAAGGGTAGTAGGGTTATCTCCTCCTATGTCTTCACATCCCAAAATTATAAGCATATTTCACATTTTTTAAAGTAAGCTCAGTGCTGAATGTGGGGCTTGAACTCACAACCCTGAGATCAAGAGTCACCTGCTCTACTGAGCCAGCCAGGTGTCCCACTGATTTCCCATCTTAATGATCATCTTAGATGTACCCAACCATAATGGCAAAACCAGCCATTCTTTTGCTTTGTTGGAAATTTTAATTTGTATTCTGCAGAAAGCCTTGTCAACGCTAGTTAAAAATCAGAGAACTATTCATGGCTGAGGCTGTAAACTCTTCATCAAAAATCCACCTGTGTGGGTCCTGGAACCCACAGCTGGACTCCATTTCCCAGCCTCCCTTGCAGGCAGGGGTGGCCACGTGACTAGATGCTGGCCAATGGGATGTGACAGGATGTCATATAAGCCATTTCCAGGCCAGAGCTTTGAAGAAGCAGGTGTACTCCCTTCAGATTCTGCATTTCCCCTCTGCTGCCTGGAGGCAGATGACCATGAGGCCCTGGAGGATGGTGGCGCCATGAGACTGAGAGACCCCAGAACCTCTGGAGGGAAGACAGAGGCCCACTGGCCAGGAATGCCCACCTAGGGCTCCTCCGTGAGCAAGAAATACACCCCATGATGTCAAGCAACTGACAAAATGTGGATCACTTGTTACTGCAGCTCAGTCCACCCTAATACAACAATGCAACCGAGAAGGGTAAAAATATGTCCAGTTTGTGAAAGGGTTGTGAAACTGTTAGACCAAAAAATATTCATTTTTGACTGATTTTTTCAACCAACTTGTTCTTAGACTACTACCTCCCAAACTGGGGAGATCACTGGAAATGCCTGGGGAACTTTGAAAAAATATAAATCCTTGGGCTCCAGTCCCAGAGATGCTAAATCAGTAGTGCTGGAGTGGAGCCCAGAAGTCTATAAATCTTTTGAATTCCTCAGGAAATGTGCACTCTCCCCGGCTGCCGGGGAGAGTGACTTTTTTGAGAAAGTAAGTTGGCATATCTTTTTAAATTTTAAATGCACATCAATCAATTTAATTTCTAGGAATCTACCCCTGAAATAAAAGCATTGGTCAGAGTGATATGTGCTTATAAAGATGTCAACGGAAGCATTGTTTGGAATAATTTGTTAAAAAGAGAAAGAGCCCAGATGTCTCTCATTAGGGGAAGATGTGAATTAATTATGGGCCACTCATCTGTGAGGGGCTAAGGTGTTAACATTCAGTACTTCACCTAGAGATTGGAAAGACGTGTTTGATATAAAATGAAATTGCTGCTTAAAATAAGAATTACAGATATATCTATGTAGATTTATCTACGAATGTATAAGCACAGGAAAAATATGGCACGGTCTTGACGTAACTGACACTATTCATTAACTTGGGGGATTAGAATCATGAGGCACTGCGGCAGGAAGAAGGTACATAAACAATTTTTGTCTTCTACACCTGCATTCTTCATTATTTGAGTTGTCACCGTAAGTAGGCATTCAAGTCAAACAACCCTCCTGCTTATCCAGGTTTGGGAACCAGTTTGTTTTCCCCAGAGTCCCCCAGTGTTCCCAAGGTAATGCACAGAATAGCGCTTTACCCCGGCGTGGGGAAGCCAGGCTGACCCAGGTGCTCACGGGCCTGGCCTTCCCCAGGGCCCCGGGAGAGAAGCACCCAGTGGAGTAAGCCATTGTTTTCATCCTGCAGAGGTATCAGCCATCCTTTCTGAATGCCCACTCCTGAGGGCGGTTCCCTTAGCATTGGTCAAAATGGATTCTGCCTTCCACACTGGCCATGGGAGGCACTTTTCCAGCAAAGGTCCCTGGGGCCCTAAACATTCCAGGGACTTGTTCCTTATGCTCGCCTACCCCCAGCCACCCCGTTTCTTGAGAGGGACAAGATAAGCGTATTGGCCTACCCAAGGTTCTAGGAAGTGCGGCAGGATACAGAAAAGTTGACTCATCTTGTTTCCCAAACACTTTGACCCTGACACTTTTTTCAAATGTAAACACCTTCCTTGTGAGGACATTTGCTTTCTAGTAAGTCTTAGAAATCTGTCTCCAGGTGGAGTATCTAATGGGAGGATTGTCAGGCCCTGAGGCAGAGATGGAAGAGTTCTGCAAGGTGGTGGGCTTTCCTGGGCCCACCTCCCTCCTCTGATTTAGCTACCATTGTCATTTTAAGTAGTTCAAACGTACTGTAGGTCCCTTCCTGCTGAGAACTCACAGTCCCTCCTGCAGCACTGAGCATACAGCTGGTGCTTAATAAATGCTTGAGAAGAATTCATTCTTACTCCTAGACAAGCATGCATACTTTCCATCCTCCTTGATTCTCACCCATCTGGGCAGAGGGGGCTGTGGGTCTTAGAACTCTCAAGAAGGGAGGGACCTTCAGTCTGGGTACGCAGAACCCAAAGGTATCCTTTTTTTTTTTTTTTTAAGATTTTATTTACTTATTTGACAGACAGAGATGACAAGTAGGCAGAGAGGAGGGCGGAGAGAGGGGAGGAAACAGGCCCCCTGCTGAGCAGAGAGCCCAATGCAGGGCTCGATCCCAGGACCCCGAGATCATGACCTGAGCTGAAGGCAGAGGCTTTAACCCACCGAGCCATCCAGGCACCCCAAGAACCCAAAGGTATCCTAACAGCCTTCAGTCCCCATAACCAGGTGGGTCTCCTGCTCAGATGACCAAATGGTCCCCCTATTGGCTCTGCCCCACAGCTGGCCAAGCCAGGCCAAGCCTTACCGTGCTGTCCTGAAGGTACTGCTCCCAGATCCTGGCCGTCAGCCCGCACCCAGCATCGCAGGGTGAATCCGGAGACACAATCATGTGATTGACCAGGGCTGACAGGTGGGTCCTCACAGTGGACAGGTGCCTGCAGTAGGCAAGCCCTAGCGAGGGAGGGAGGGAGAGTGCCATCATCCACCATCCAACCCACCTTGCCTGACCTCATGGATCTCAAAGCACTGCCTTGCCCACAAACCTTGTGGACCCTTGTGACCTAGAAAGTCCCATCATCCTTCTCTTCCAGACAAGCAAGGAGCTCTGAGGGGCAAAACCCCTTGCTGGCTTGACTGTTTAACAGTTGTATGAGCCTGGGGACATCTGATCATCTTCCTCAGCCTGGGCCAGGGTGATATTACCTCTTTACCTGGAAGCCAAGGCATTTAAGCCACAGGCAGGAGGCAGGGAAGGGGCAGTAGGAAGGAGGCAGGAAGTGATCCCACAGGCTCACAGTGCCTCTGGGTGCTTCCAATCCATCCCAGGAGAAGGAGAATGGCAGAAGTGGACGACTCTTTTTCAAAGTGCAGCCAGACAAAGAAGGCCATGAGAGATGCACCTAGTTTGCTCTCAAAGAGGGTTCTGCACTCTTACAGGCCACCAACCTGCTGCCCTTCACCTGCTCTGCCCTGGGCACCTGGAAGGCACAGTGCCTGGTACACAGGAGGCACTCAGCAAATGCCAGCCTGTGTTTGCTCTATGCCCCCTCCCTCTGGCTCTCTCTTATTAATTCCCAGAGAGGACCCTGGGCCATCTGGAGCCTGAGGACTGGCCCCTACCAGCAATGAGGAGGAGGAGGGAGAAGAGGAGAAGGAGGGGGAGGAGGGAGAGGAGAGAAAGGGGGAAGAGGAGGAAATGGCTAACACTTATATAAGCACATACTACATGCCAGGGAACTGCCCAGAGCTCACATCCTTAACTCACTAAATTCTCATGACATATGGAACAGGTACTCCTACATTCTCCATCTTATACATGGGGAAACCGAGGCACAGACTTTTTCTGTCTCTTGGCCGGATCATATGCTAGGAAGTGCGGAGTTGGGATTGGAACCCAAGCTCCATAGCGCCAGAACCTGGGCTCTCAACCCCCATCAGGGACGAGCCATTGAATACGTAACACTGTTTGAGATGCATCTGGACCTTCCTCCATGAAGCCCTTCTATCTGGGTCCCATAAATACCTGTCCAGGACCTGCTCCATGCCAGGACCTGCAATAGGCACTGGGGATGGATGAAAACAGAATGGACAAAAACCTTGATTTTGGGAGCTCACACTCTTGCTGCCCCTCCAGGGGCTTGGGCACATGGCTGGCACTGCTATTCTCCAGGCCCATGCAGGATATAGCAACACTTTTCTAGAATCCCTGACAACACACAGGTTTTCTCTCCCCCATTTAGGCTGGGAGGCTGGGAAAATGAAATGTGCTAAGAATGAACACAGCAGAGTAAAAACAAAACAAAACAAAAACAAACCAGCTTTGTGGTCAGGCAGGCCTGGGTTTGAGTCCCAGCTCTGTCCTGTATTAGCTGTGCGACCTTGGACAAGTCACTCTGCTTCCTTGTGCCTTCGTTTCTTCATGTGTTAAATAGAAATAACCAGAATACCTGTGTTTAAGTTTTAATTTTTAACTTTTCTTTACTCTTTTGCTTCTGCCCACAGGTGAGGGGAACTGACTCTGAGCACCTATGACAGGTAATGCCAGCTGCTAGGGGCTTTATTCATGTTTCTCATTTCATTCTGAGAACAAACTCTCTAAGGCAGGCACTGGGATGCCATGGTGACTAACCAAACCCCTCCCCTGAGGAGCCCCATGGTTGGCTGCCCTCTCTTAGAGCCCAGAGATAAAATTTATGCCCAGGCTCTGCTTGAGGAGGTTCAGGCTCTAAGATGTCTGCATAGCTTCACTAATCTAGACACATCTAGGAACTGGCGAGCTGGGGTTCAGGTGCCAGAGCCAGGCTCCTTCCCTTGATGCTGATGCCATACAACAGGCATTTGAGAAATGTGCCCATAGACCACAATGGCAAATAAGGCTGATACGCACATCCATAGAAGGCTCTGGAAAGGATCTGGTACTTCATGTTGTCACAGAGGAGCTTCAGCGGGGCCCTGCAGTGGAGGAAGAGAGGACACGTAGAAAAGACCACACAGAGCCCATGTTTCCTGGAGGAGCACAGTTCATTACCTGCAAGGGGCAGATTAAAACCAGCCAGGCAAGGGGACTCTGGGAGGACGGCGGTTTCTCCCCATACTGCCACTCCTCCTGTTGGCTTTGGGGTCTCTCTCTCTCCAACTCTCTGGGGTTTGGATGGAGCTGATTCGACCTAGTACAGGACTCAGGCTGGAGTCACAGGCATTGGGTAAGAGGTGGTCATGTGATCCAATCTGAGCCAAGGACAATGAGCCCCAAACTCATTTTGTCAGAACTACAGAGAAATTGACACTATTCTCTGCTCGAGTCCCTAAGCCAGAAGGATGTACGGCAGTGGCTGCTGGGATCCATTTCTGCCCCTGCATAAGGAGGGCCTGCCTGAGAATGAGAGCATCATAGGAGCATCTGGAGCCAACCATGCCTGAGTCACTGCACTTCTAGACTCCTTAGTTCTGTCAAGATTTTCTTTTGTATGTGAACCAGTCTGAAGTGGGTTTCTGTCACTTGCCCAAAGAGCTCTGACCTCTGAAGTGACCCAGCTAAACCAAACTGAGCCAGACCAGGACTCAGAGTCTGGTTGACTGCAGAATAGGTGATGCCTCAGAGCTTCTTCTTGCGTGGGAATTTGGGGGCGGTGGGGTGCAGCTGGCTGAAAGAGAAGAGAGGAGTAAGGCCCCAGCACTAGTGGGGAAATCAAGGACTGCTGATGGGCGTGTTGTGCATCCTCGCAGAGAACAGAATGGAGGAATATCCGCATATTTTTTCCTCAGGACATCCTGGGGATACCCAGGAAAACTGAAAAAGACAGGAAGGAGGCGTGGCTAAAGTGCTCCAGTTACACACACGGAACCATTAAACATGAAAATCACCCTCATCGTGCTTGGTGGGGCTCAGGGTTGGTCAGTTTACCTAAGAACAGCATCACACACATAGCCGTCCCACAACAGACTTGGCTATGTGAAAGAGGGTGAGCTTCCCATCACTCCAGGTATGTAAGCAGATGCCACAAACGGGGACACTAGGTTAGAATGGTGTTTTTCAATGCCCCCTGGACCACAGCCCAAGAATCACTTGGCATTTCTCCAACATGTGTATTCCTGGGCCCCACACACACCTACTGGATCAGGACCCCTATGGAAATTGTCTCAGAAGCAGTGTCACATTCCCCTGGTGGTTCTGAAGCACACAAACGGGAGAGACTCTGGTTACAGGGGTGCTTCTCAAACTGACAATGCACATACGAGCTTAGGATCAAGTTAAATGCAGATTCTGCTTTTGGACCATGTGCTTAAAGCCAGGCCTTAGATGACTGCAAAAATGTGATGCCAGCTCCCACACCTTGAGCTCCTATGGCTGAAGACTGGACCACCTACTGGGCCAGACGCCCAGCATGGAAAAAGGGATTCCATTCTTCTCAGGCAGGCCAGGCGGGGTCAGCTGGTAATCAAGACCAGTCTCATTATTGTACTGGGCAGCCCTGAAGACACATGAGATCTATGGGCCAGGACAGAGATGATCTGGGGATCAAACTTTATCCAATAAAATAAGAAGCGTTACTTACTGAACATTGCCAGGCACTGGGTACCACATGCTGGCCATGTTAGACCGGTATCTGATTTGTCCTTACGATAGCTATACAAAGCAAACATTTGTATCCCCATTCGGTGGAGGAGCAAACTGAGGCACGTGTGGTTGGCAGTGAGTAGTATTTCTAGTTTCTGCCTTCCAGGAGCATGACAGGACTGTGCTTCCTGGCCTGCTGTGGATGGGGTCAATGAGGCATGAGCAGAGAGAGTATATCCTGCATCCAAGGTGGAACCTCTCATTGTTGTCCAGGTGCCCCAGAGCCACCTTTCGCTCTGTCACTGGGACTGGGAATATTCTAGACGGTTTGGCTCCATCAGCCAGGCCCTTTAGTGTGCCCCAAGCAGAGCCCCCAGCTGACCCACGAGAGACACATGGTATACATGATAAATCATCCTTTGTCCTACTGAGCGACCGAGATTTCAGGACTGTTTGTTACTGCAACATAACCTTGGTTATCCTGACTGATACATGGAATGAAGCAAAGACAGCTAGGACTTCACAAGGTTATTCCATAACTTATGTTCCATAACTTATGTTCCTTGAAGATTCCATAACTTATGTTCCTCCTCTGAATTCAGTGCTAGGCAAGGAATGAGCATCTACAAATCTTTGGCAAATCCCTCTATGACCTCCACCCACAGATTAAGGTCCTCATACCTCTCATGGTTGCAGCCATTGGATGAGCCGCCGTCGACCAAGCCACTCTGTGAGCAGGACGAGCAGGAGGATTTCCGGGGGCTGGGTTGCCATAGGGGTGGTAGGTTGCTCACGGAGACATCCATTAGGTCCTGGGGGACTATGGTGGACAGGAGGCATGGAGCAAGAGATCCGGTTAGGCCTATGTGGGTCACAGAAACCTCAACCCAAAGCAAGCAGCTCACCTCTAGGCCAGCACGGGGACAGGGAAAGACCCTGAATTTGACAGTCAGAGACAGCAACCCCAATCATTATCTGACCCAGACCTATGAGTCCACCTGATTCAGTGAAAGCTACCACCAAGACCCGGGGCCCTCAGCAGACAGGCAGAGCTGAAGATAGCTGAAGAGAGAGGAAGAAGTGGGGTGTGGGGGGAAAGATAGAGAGAAAGGGAGACAAGACCCAAGAAAACAGACCCAGTACCAGAACAGGAAGCCAAGCCTCACCATGTTGTCATTCAAGTGTCCTCACAGAAGGCTAACAAGAAGGGAGAGGAGCCTGATGGGGTCTTCTGGGGAAGGATGATGGTCCTGAGTCCCCAGAGATAAACTCTCTGGGAGTGAGAGTCTCTAGTAGAGAGACAGAAGGGAGCCTAACTCAACAGATGAGGCAGGCCTCCCAAGGGCAAGGGACCCAGGGGAGTTCCTGCTGATGAGCCCACCTGCACTGTCCATCATCCTGAGCCATATAGCTGTTCCATCAATAGGTCTCAAACGGGTGGGTGACCCCCACCCAGAATCATGGGGGGCTTATTAAAAAGCCATATGCCTGTATCCCACCCCTGACCTACTTAACTTAAACCTCCTGGAGATAGAGCCTTTAAGTCTGTATATCAAAAGACAATTTTGATAACAGCAGCCATGTTCAAGAACCAAGAGGGCATAACTGATCTCCTAACATGGATATTGGTGTTCCTGATCTTGGGCTCCCAGGATACAGCACTCAGAGTTTCCCTCCCTGCCTTCTCTTCCAGCTCCATGGAAATCACCATGTCTCCACAGCTGCATGGCAAACACAATGGTGACTCATACATTATAATTTCTATCATTAACTTCCTGGCCTCTTGGCAGTTCCAGACAGGTGCAAAGACTATACTTTTTCTAGGACAGGGCTCAGTAGGCAATTTTCCATCAAGGGCCAGACAGTAAACATTTTAGGGTTTGTGAACCCTTTGGCCACAATCACAACCACTCAACTTTGCCGTCATTGTGCAAAACAGCCATCCACAAGATGAAAACATGTAAGCATGGCTAGGTTCCAATAAAACTTTATTTATGGGGGGCACCTGGGTGGCTCAGTGGGTTGGGCCTCTGCCTTCAGCTCAGGTCATGATCTCGGGGTCCTGGGATCAAGCCCCGCATAGGGCTCTCTGCTCAGTGGGGAGCCTGATTCCCCCTCTTTCTCTGCCTGCCTCTCTTGTGATCTCTGTCTGTCAAATAAATAAATAAAATCTTTAAAAAAAAAAAATCTATTTATGGGGGCGCCTGGGTGGCTCAGTCGTTAAGCGTCTTCCTTTGGCTCGGGTCATGATCCCAGGGTCCTGGGATCGAGCCCTGCCTCAGGCTCCCAGCTCAGTGGGAAGCCTGCTTCTCCCTCTCCCACTCCCCCTGCTTGTGTTCCCTCTCTTGCTGTGTCTCTATCGAATATACAAAGTATTTAAAAAAAAAACTTTACTTATGGACACTGAAATCTGACTTTCGTATCATTTTTCACAGGTCACAAATATTACGATTCTTTTGATTTTTTTTTCAATCATTAAAAAAATGTAAAAACCATTCTTAGCTCATGGGTCGCACTGAATGAGGCTGGCTCTGGCCCATGGGCCCTAGTTTGCCAAGCTCTGACCTAGGAGACTGAGAAGGGTGTCCATCTGTCCCACCGGCCATGCCTTCCAAGGATAACAGGTAATCTTGGCTTCTTCTCTTGGGCTGCAAGGGGGGAGTTGTGGACCCAGGGCCACCTGTTACCTGAGCTCAGGGCCCAGCCCTACCCAGGATAGTGCAGAAATATCCTCCCCAAGCTGACTCACTGATGAGCTGACCACGAAAGACCAGTGAGCCCCTGTAAAATGTTCTAGAAAAGCATCCCCAGGTCTCCACCAATCTCAGGGAAGCACGGATCAGTTTCAGCAAGGTGTGGCCCATATGCCTCGGCCCTGGCCCCTCACACTCTGCCGGCATCACCAGTGGACGACTTCCCTACAGGTCCCACAACACTCTTCGCAGCATTCTGTCACATGGAGGCTGGACAGCATGAGAGCATCTGTTTGGCTCCTGCTTCCCTCGCCCTGGGGACCAAGATTCAAATGACAACATGGCAGAGGTGGCCAGCACCCAGCCCCAGGTGTGGGAGGTGCCCCGACATTACTGGGGGGCTGCTGCTTCAGGCCCGGCCTGGGGAAGGCGGCGTTCCATCCGGTTCGTGCCCACTGACCGCCCCTGGCCACCACCAGCACGGACCGGCCAGCAGGAACCACCATCCAGGTGGGTCTCACGGAATTGGGGGCAGTGCTGCCCAGGGGGTCAGGAGCAACTTAAGACACAAAACAAAAAACACCAGTGAAACGAAATGTCTGAGGTGGGCAGAACACAGAAACAGCCAAAGAACCCACCCTTCGGGGCTTTACCTCTCCCCTGCCTGGCTCTGCACAGCTCCCATGTACTGTGTTGGCATCAAGGAAGAAACAATGCTGATGTCTGTAAAATGCCCTACTATGTGCTGCCTGCTGTGCAGGCACAGGCTTGCTTTCTCATCCTTAGTGACCCCATTGGGGATCCATCTCTTCTCCCATTCTGCAGAAGTGGAAACTGAGGCTCAGAAGGACAACAGTGCTTAACCACCCACAGCCCTAGCAGGTGGTAACTGGCATTAAGAGCCTTTTCTCATTGAGGTCCTGCTTCTTTTTCCACTAATGACAGCTATCACCTACAGAGAGCAAGTATTATTATCTCGTTTTCCAGACTTGGGAACTGAGGCACAGATGTAAGCATCATGCCTAAGACCACCCAGGGAACAAAGAGTGGAGCTGGGACTCCGACCCAGGGCATCAGACCCCAAGACCCTATTCACAGTCTTCTGACTGATATCCCCCCACCCCCGATATTATCCATGCACTATCTAGACCAGCAGTTCTCAATGGGGGCAATTATGTCCCCTCAAGGGCTTTTGGCAATGTCTGGAGACATTTTTTATTGTCACAACCTGAGAATTTGGTAGATGCTACTGGCATCTATCCAGTGGGTAGAAGCCAGACACAAGACACCCCACCCCCACCAAACACATCACACATCATTATTTAGTCCAGTATGTCAGCCCTGCCCTAGACCATCTCTGTTCAATAGGAATCCACCCTGAGCCACACGCTTAATTTAGAAGTTTCCTGTAGCCACACTAAAAGGAGGAAAAGAAACAGATGAAATCAATTTCAGCAATATATTCTGTTCAACCCAGTATATCCCTAATGTGACCACTTTAACTGAGAATCAGTATAAAATGACTGGTAAGATATTTTGCATTCTTTTCTGGTTTTCCTCCAAAGTCTTCAGAATGTGAGTGTCTTTCGCACTTAGGGCACATCTCCATTCAAATTCACTGCATTTCAAGTGCTTGGGAGCTGCATGCGGCTCACGCCTACCACACCAGATGGTACAGACAGTCCCAGCAACATGGGAGTCTGGAAATGCCCTCCTCTGACTCTGAACCTGACTCCAGGTTTCAGAACTTGTCTCTGCCTCCTCTGTACCCAAGGACCAGGTGTTGGAGACAGAGGCACGAAGATACTGAGAGGGGGTTTAGAACCATTTATGGCCACATCATCCCTCCCACAGGCCCAAACTCCTCTCTTATTCCTTACCGCAGGCATCCACAAACTTTTTCTATAAAGGGCCAGATAGATAGTAAATATTTTTGGCTTTGTGGGCCATACGGTCTCTGTCACAACAATCCCACTCCACTGCTGGGGTGTGAAAGCAGCCACACACAATATGGCTAGGAGTGGGCGTGGCTGTGTTCCAATAAAACTTTATTTACAAAAACAGGCAGTGGGCCGAATTTGGACTACAGGAGGGAGTTTGCCCATTTCTGACTTGGGCATTTCTTCAGGAAGGACTTTCTTGCTCTCAAAGATGAAAACCACGCATGATTGTTTGTGTTAGCTCTGTGAGGTTCAGGCCTCTGGCAAAAATCAACCAAGGATGGGGCACCATTACTATGTGGGCTGAATCTGAACGTGGGGAGGAAATGGGTGAGACCACAATCTGTCAAAACAATCTGCAAGCTCTGGAGCCAGGGTACCTGGGCTTAAATTCCAACCGTGCCAAGGATTAGCTGTGCCTCTCTGGACCAGTTTCTCAACCTTTCTGTGCCTCCGTTTCCTCTTCTGAAAAACAGAGGTTGCTGAGGACACTGGTATGTGCCTAGGAAGACTGTGGTGAGGATTAAATTAGTTACAACACTGGAGGGACAAAGGCAGGCTTGGCACACAGTACCCAGTATTACTGACAGAGCGTCTGTCAAGCATTTCAAGTTAGGTGTCTGACATTAACTCCTCAGAATAGGATCCTGTATGGGAACAGAATGGGGCTGTCCTCCCCATTCTACAGACAAGGAAATGAGGCCTGCAGAGGGCAAGTCACATGGCCACACTGAAGGGGCACAGGTGTGTGCAGGGTTGTGTGCTTTTCTCAACAGAGGGCGATTCTGCTCCCAGTGGGAACCCAGCAGCGCCTGGAGACATTTCTGGTTGTCCCCACTTGGTGGTGGGGTGTGGGCAGATGGCAGTTAGTCAGGGGCCAGGGGGATGACAGGGATGCTGCCTGATATCCTAACAAGGCCCATAGTGCCCCTTCCCAACAACCACCAAGAATTATTCCATCTAAAATGTCAGTGGTGCTACCGTTGAGAAGCTTTGTTCTAGTTAAACTGAGTCCACTGGGGTTTCCCAGGGGCAGAAAAGAATTCAAGTCCCAGGAGCATATCTGGGAGATGTTTCCAAGAAACATGGGTAGGAGAGAGGTGAAGCGACAGGAGAAGGTTCTGCCAAGGGTTACCATGTGGGTTACCACCACGGGCAACTGCTGCTTGATCTCCCAGCAGAGGGGAGAGGGGTGTCTGGGAGATGTGTAGAATACACAGGCCAGGGCTTTCTTGCTGGGGGGTGGGGCACGAGGGAGCCAGGGCATTGAGACACTGACTCCTGCCCGTCCTTGGCTGAGGGCTGCTCCAGTGAGGCTCTGACTCCCTGACACTTCTACCCCCTGCCATGGGCAGAAGGCACTCTAGGATGGGGGCTGGCTGCAGAGTGGCAGGCACAGAGGGTGTGGGTAGGCACAGCCAGTGTCTCTTCTGCTGACACATGCAGAACCACAACACACTAACATGGACTGCCCCCAAGTAAGAAAGACACCCAGCACCCAGCCTGGCTCCCAGCAGGTGCCTACACATTGTTTGTTGGGTGAGCCCCTGTGCAGAGAGTTTCCTGGGAAGGCAGGCCCAAGGCATCGGGCTCCTCTGATCAATCAGCTCTCTGGTGGGGCAGTAAGACTCATGTCCTCCCAACAGGCTGAGAGGGTTCCAGACCCTGCTCCTGGGTAGGAAGAGATGTAGTGGTGAATACTTCAGGATACTCTTGGGCTCTCAGTGATGCAGAAACATGGGGCTTGGCATGGTTAGCCTACCCTTGCCAGGAGGACATCTGCTTTCCAGAGAGCCTCTCATGGACCAGCTGCAGTCAGTAATGCAAGGGGAGGCTCAGAGCCATTATCCCTCAGACGGAACAACAGGGCCACCAAAGGTTAAATAAAATGAGGTGGACAAAAGGAACCTACAGCTTAATATCGAGTTGTTGAACAGACATCCATAGGATGCTTCATAAAGGCCAGGCCTCTTTCAAAGAACTTCTCAACTATTAGCTCATGTAACCCTCATGATAACTCCGTGGTGATGATGACCTTGACAGTAACAGTCTGTGTGAACCAAGCATTGGCACCAGGCAAGCCGCCATGCAATGCAATGGACATACATTAGTGTCCCAGGTGCCAGCTCCCTGTGCTTTGCTTCCCCTCTGCTGTTTTTACTGCCATTTCTTGAGGGCCTACTGTGTGCGGGACTTTATTCTACAGACTTTACATTGGTTACCTCTTTATCTCATTGAATCCTGACAATGTATCGAAGTTAAAGAACAACCCTGTAACAGCGGCTATAATGTACGTGGTCTGTGCCAAGAGCATTATCTCATGTAATGCCCACAAGGGCCCTATGTCCCAGGTGCTGTGAACATCCCCATTTTGCAGATGGGGAAACCAAGACACAGGGGGTGAAGAGACTTGCCCCAGTTCAACCAGGATTCCAGAGCCCACGGCCACTACCCCAGGCCACCTCCTGGGCAGGTGTGTCTTTATTATTAAGCTAAGTCACCTGTGGTTCTCATTTGGGGAGAAACCGAGATACTAACTCCCTGGTTTCAGGTCCGCACCAACCCCCCCGCAACCCCTGCTGACTCCAGAGTCCAGACCAGTCCAGACTGGTCTTCTAATCCCAAACACCTGGAATCCTTCGCATGATCAGCTAACTGGTGGATCCAGGGAGCCCAGAGACGGGTCAGCTTACCAAATTCAGACTGCATGCCGGGGTAGATGATCCTGAACACGTAATCTGTGGCCTCGTCATCTTCCTTGTCTGAAGACGTGGACTCGGCGGAACCCTGAGGGCTTCGCTTGCGCAGCTTGGGAAATACTTTGCCCTGAAAGAATGTGTCCCATTGCACAGTCCTTGGGATATGCCTGTCCCCACAATCTGTACAGCCTGAGGGTTTCAGTGGGATATGTGCCCACAAAGCCATGTAAGGATCCACGGGCAAAAATGACCACTGCCCCAGGCACCTGAGTGGCTCAGTCAGTTAAGCATCCGACTCTTGATTTCGGCTCAGGTCATGATCTCAGAGCTGTGAGACTGAGCCCCAATTTTCAGGCTCCACGCCAGGCATGAACCTGCTTGGGAGTCTCCTGCTCACCCACCCCTTTCCCACCGTGCTTGTGCACAAGCTCATGCTCCCCTCTCTCTCCCTCTCTCTCTCAAAAAGATGATCACTCCCCACAGCTAACCCCCACTCCAGCCTCCCCGGGGCCTCTGCGATCACTCACCTTTCCCCGCTGAGACCAGAGTGGAGGGTCCAGCTGCCCATGAGGGAGCAGCCCGTTTTCCAGGCACGAGAGGAACTGCAGGAGGTGTCCTCCCTTGGGGAAGCGGAAGGGCGGCCTCTGGATCCCGTCCTGGCTGACCAGCACCACTGTCCCGCCGCTGTCCACTGCCACCATGACCCAGCCGGAGGAGACCCGATGGGAAGTCACTATGAGGCATGGGGATGGGGCACTTCCGGCACACACATCCCCCCAGGCATGCCAAGCCAGTCCCAGGGACCTGCTCCAAGGCTCTGGGAAAGGCCTGGGCAGAAGGTCGGGAGCAGTTTTTAACCTCCACCGGGCCTCTTAAATCCTACCTGCTAGGGTCACTGACCGGGTGGTATAGGACATGGTCCAGAACAGTATGGCTGGCCTCTGTGAAGTTACCCACTGAAGGGAAATGGTGCCCCAAACATCCGACGCTCCTCAAGCACCCTCTATGAATCACCCTGCCTATTTTTGTATGGGGCGTTTCAGATCTTCCCCTTCTCAAGGCAGTATTTCACTTGCTCGCACATATTGAGCACTTATTGTATGTAAGCACAGCACATTAAAGGCAGTGTCTTCTGAGTATTCTGAATACTCAAAATAGACCTATGAGGTCTATCTATTATGGTCTAGTTTACAAATGATGGAGCCAAGGCTCAGAGAGGCTATGTACCTTGCCCAGGGCTGCACAGTAGGGCCTGGATCTGAACCCAGGTCTATCTCACTCAATAAGCTTAATGTTTCTTGTCTTGGTGGGACACAGATCCCTAGCTTCCTACAGCAGGATGGCCTGCTTGTTCTGAATGTACCTTTTCTCAACTTTAAAGGAGAACTCTAGTGATTAATCCTGGATCTTCAGAGCTCCGGCTTTGGAATGACAAAGACCTGATTACGAGTCCAAACTCTGGAGCTTCCAGGCTGTGTGACTTCGTGCTAAGCTGTTTAGAGCCCTGCTTGGCACATCACAAAAGCTCAGTAGGTGTTAGCCACTAACACCATGGGTTGGATGCTGAGCCCTTATCATTCATCATAGGATGTTCACAACAAGGCCAAGAGAAGGTGCTGCTGTGCTTCCATTTCATAGATGGGGAAACTGAGGCTCAGTGAGGAGAATTCACTTGTTTGAGGCTACACCAGTAGTAAGGATGTGGGGCCAGGCAGGGGAGGCAGGAGGAACACCCTGGCTTCGTGCTCCCCCCACGGTCCCTACCTTGCTGGTGGCAGTGCAGATACACAATCTCCTCTAGGCGGATGGTCATGGCATAGTCCCAGTAGACGCTAGAAGTGGAGGGATGGTTAGGTCCATAGGGTGCCTGCTCACCTCGTCGTGGCAAAGGGACCAGAAGGCCAGAAGACCACACCCATGGGCTTTTGCACCCTTCTCACTGGTGGGTCTTTCTCACTGGTGGGTCACTAGACCCACCAGTCCCCAACATCTGTTTGTCAGACTTCAAATCCAACTTCCACCAACTATACTGAATCAGTCCCTTCTCCTCTCTGGGCCTCAGTTTCCCTACCTGCAACATGAGGAAGTTGGAAGAGAAGCTCTCTAAGGGACCTCCTGCTCTGGTCTGTAGCAGAGTCAGCCTTCCCAGGGCCCATGGAGCGAACATTCTCAGAGGGCAGCCAAGCACACAGGGGTTTTCAGAGTAGCAGCCTCTACAGAGCCCCTTGCATGTGAGTCTTAGCCAGGAGGTCCTTCCCCAGACTCCTGCATCATGCCCATGTCCTAGGGTTGCAATGGTTTGTTTTCTCCTGTCTCCCCGAGAGGTGCTGATCTGGACAATAACTGGGTTTTGCTCACTTCTACAAGATGCTCAGAGAATAGTATTCAGAGCTAATGGCTGCCCTAGGGCACCCAGTAAACAGAGCAACTCTCCAACTACCACCAGACACCAGCAAGGAGGAGCTGTGGCCACAGTCCATTTGGAGCTGTGTAACTTGACACAAACAGCCTCCAGGTTCCAGCCTCCTAGCTAAGGGCTCTACCTGTATTTTCTCACTGACTCTTTCCTATATGCCTATTCCAAGCTTCCATTACCATATCCCCATTTTACAGCAGATGAACAAACTGAGGTTCGGGAAGGGGCAGCTGACTGCCCAAGATCACTCAACTGGGAATGAGCAAGAACTGAGCTTCTGATTTCATTTTACACGTTTTAACAGCTTCCTAAAGTAGAGCTGCTGGGTCACGTAGTAAGGGTAGGTCCTGAGAAACTCCCAAACTGGTCTGTGAAGTGGCTGTGGGGGGAATTCCAGCTGCTTCTCCACATGGCAGGGCTGAGATCTGAGCCAAGTGCACACTGACTCCAGAGCCCAAATAGCCACCCAAATATCACCCAAATATCACTCTTGGGTGATATTTCCTGTGTACACTAGGAAAGCCAGCTGGGGACCTCTGACCCTCATTGTATAAGAGAGGGTACTGGGTGGGACAAGAGAAGAGGTCCTGAAGCTCCTCAAATGAGGACCGCGCTGCCTTCTTTTCATCGTCTCTTGGTTCCCAAAGAGACGCTGGAATCCCTGGGTGCTCCCATTTCCTACACGCTAACCCTGATGTTTCTGCCCACTGGTTTTTTCTCCTTCACTGAGTTCCAGGTTCCAGGGAGGAGTAACAAGGATCGATGGGGGGTTTCAGAGCCCAGGCAGGGGAAGTCTCCAGCCCCATCAGTAATGACCTTGAAAGTGCAGACTCCGCTGGAACCAAATATCGATGTGTCTATGATGTGCCTGTTCACAGAGGAAAAGGTGAGGCAGAAAGATGGAGGCCCCAGTGATCTGAGCTGGAGGAGGGGTGGGGGTTGCTTGGCAATCCTTTGGTTCAGTGTTCCTCTGAAACAGCATTAAAAGTTGTCTGCCCACACTACCCTGAGCTTAAGTCCAACCAACGAACAGGGCCCTCGGGCTGTGATGTTTGACAGAAGAGACTTCAGTGTATGGGGAGCCCCTGTAAACCCTTTGGGAACCCTCTGAGAGTTCGGGGAGATCACTTACCCAGCCCCCTCATTTGATAGAAGGGGGGAAACTGAGGCCCAGAAATAAAGAGAAACATACCTCAAGTCACCCAGGGGGATGAGGACCGAGCAAACACGTGGTTTTGTAAAGTACATTTATGTATTTACCCACATATTCGTGTTCCCTCCAGTATAATGTAAATACAAGATAAACTCTGAAAAGGTAAAGGTTTTCCTCTCCTTTTCTTCATCTGCTATCTCTCATTTAGCCCAGGGCCTAGCACATCACAGCTGCTCTGTCAATATCTGATGAATGAATCCAGGTCCCCTGACTTCCCTGTTTCATTTCACAGAGATTATCCGGGCACTGACGGGTGGCAGGTGCTGGAGAGAAGATGTGAGCATGAAAGAGTCCTTGCCTTCACGGAAATGAGGTCTAGAACATAACAGCTGGTATATGGGTGGGCACAGATTTATTATGTGAGCATGATTTTATAAATGCTATGAAGGAGATTCAGGGCTCCATGTAATCCAAATTCACCTGGCAAGTCAGGGAAGGCCCGGGGTTTAAGATGAATAGGATGAAACAAGGTCCTGGGCCAGGGGCATCTCATCGGCCCTACACTGTTCCTCGGGGAGGGTTTCAGAACCCTGGAATCGGGCTGGAGCTGAGTTATGTGGCCCAGCCCAAAACAGACTGTACCTCCCATTGACTGCCTCTGAAGACAGATGGCCACCTCGGCACAGGAAGTGGCCAGCTTAGAGAACAGCATCAATCACATCAAGGCCTGGGGTTCCTCACACTGAAGCCTAACACAAAACAGAACACAATAAGGGTGTTCTGTTTATGTTCCGTGTAAAGAGCCCTTATTTTATATATGTAGCTGCCAGGACTCCTTGAGCTGAAATAATCAGGCTGGACACACTCTGCACAGTGCCTGTCTTCTGTCTGTGTTCCTTCTAGGGCCCTTCCTTATTGTGCTGGGACAGGGGATTGGAGCAGGGAATCCCTGGTTTCTGAGTTTCTTCAGAGCATGACCCCAAAGCCTTTGCTGAGCCTTACAGATCCCAGGGTATCACAGGGAGATGCAGCCCCAGACCAGATACCCACCAACCACGGCCTCCCGCTTTCCTTCTTGACCAAGTGATGGGAAGGGAGGCAGCAGATGGGGGAATATTTGCCATTGGCAGGCTTCCGAGATCTCTGTTAAGATTTCTCCCACTGCGTGGTGCTTTGACCAGGGTCTGCCTAACTCCCATGCCCTGACATTCTTCTTGCTGGTTTCTAGATCCTCCCAATGAGCTCCCTATAAGGCCACCACGGCAGGCAGGCTGGGCCACGCGGCTGCAACAACCGACTAAGCAGCGGGCCGGGGCAAGGCATGACAGACAGAACACAAACTTCCCTGTGTGAAGGGTAGGAGAGGGACCCGGCACCTTACCTCTTTTCATAGTCCAGGTCCCCCATCGACCCATTCATTAGCTGGTTCGGCGTCCACTTCAAGGTCATGACATCAGCTGTCTGGTGCAGGGACAGGTACCCTGGCACAGCCTCCATATCATCCCTCTGCAGAGAGAGGGTGCAGGCTTGGTCAAAGTGTCACAGTGATTGTGGGTCCTGGCCCATCTGACTTAGGATGCATAACTAGAACCAAGAGGCTACGTCATGCCCTCCAAGACCATGGCCATTTGGAAGATCCTGAACCTCCTTCCAGGTGGCCATGCCAAGAAAAGCAGTTTGTAACCAACCCCTCAGGATGGGTTCTGTAGATCCAGCTAGGAAAACTGTCTTCCCCCTCCCCGACTTTCATACTCACACCTCCTCCCCTCAACCAAGGTCCAGGAGCACTGCTGCAAAGGCAGGGCTGGTGGCTCTCTACAATTAGGAAGGAGCTCTACCCCTCTTCACCCCTATCCTCTCCTTAACAGAAGACATTTATCTGGCATCATTTTGGCCAGTCTTAAGGGGGAAAAAGAGGGCAGCTGAGCTCTATGTCCCATCCACAGACATTTTCCAGAATCCCCAAATACCCACACTGTACTCCCTGCCCCAGCAGCCTAATCCTCTGTCTTCCCAGTTAGCCTTCAGAGCTTCTCACCTGCTCCCTCTGTTTTACCCCAAGTGGGGTGTGAGGGAGGGGGCTATCTCCAAGCCTCACTCATAGAGGAGGTGATTTCTCCACCAAATTAGCCTGTACACCATGGGGAGATAGACAGCTGGCATTTACTGAGCACCTAGTGTGTGCACCAAGCCTGGCTCGGCTGCAGGGACACGGTCCCCATTTAACCACACAAGCCTGCAGCCCCGTGATGGAGCACAATTTCATGACTGGTTTTCACATAGTAATGCACCTGAAATGGGGATGCACCTGATAGAGTGGCATCTCACAATCACGGCCACTGCCTGATCTCACGCAAATTCGGGCCTAGCTGTTCAGATGTTGTTACTTTAATTCAGGTTTTTTTTTTTTTTAAGATTTTATTTATTTATTTATTTGACAGAGACAGAGAGGGTGAGTGAGTGAGCACAAGCAGGAGCAGCTACAGAAGGAGAGGGAGAAGCAGGCTTCCCGCTGAGCAGGAAGCCTGACACGGGGCTCTATTCCAGGGATCATGACCTGAGCAGAAGGTAGATGCCTCATTGACGGAGCCACTTGGGCACCCCTCCATTCAATTCTGAGCATGGTTGTTACTTCATGTGTGGAGTACAGGTGTTATTTTAAATGTTTTTATAAAGACTAGACTGATTCATCTTTGAATCAAAAAGTGATTGTGCAGAAAGACTGGCAACAGAGCAAAAGGGCACTGATGTGATTATTGGCAAAGCAGACACACTAGTCATGGCTGCACAGATGCCCGCAGTTCCAGATTCTCTCATAAAGCAACAACTAAGTGCACATATTTGCAAACCTCTGACGCTCTCGATCAGAGGTCTGAAAACTTTCTACAAAGGCTCAGACAGGGAAAAACTGGGGCTCTGGGAGTCATATAGGCTCTGCGGTAACCAGTCCACTCTCCCTTATAGCCTGAGAGCAGCCCTACACAATATGTCATGGGCATGGCTGGGTTACAATAAAGCTTTATTGGCAAAAACAGGCAGAGCACTGCATTCAGCCCATGGCTATATAGTTTGTTGACCCCTTCTTTTGATGGAACAGAAGACAATATTTGGTGGAAAAATATAGACAGTGATGTCTCTCAGTCAAAAAGTGACATGAAGATTAGGGGACGCCTGGGTGACTCAGTGGGTTAAGACTCTGCCTTCGGCTCAGGTCATGATCCCAGGATCCTGGGACTGAGCTTCGCATTGGGCTCTCTGCTCAGTGGGGAGCCTGCTTCTCCTTCTCCCTCTGCCTGCTGCTCCATCTGCTTGTGCTCTCTCTCTGTTTGTCACTATTTCTGCCCCTCTCTCTGTCAAATAAATAAATCTTTAAAAAAAATTATATGTTACCTTGTGTGTAGTTACAAGTATAATATATGATTTTTAAAAAAGTATATCCAAATAAATCTCAAAGAGCTCTTTCAAAAAGTGTAAAATGAAATTTCCAAGTAGTGAGAAAACATTTTATAGAACTTAATAGCACTTTCCTTCCTGACGGTTGTGTTTTAAAATGGGATGTCTTAAGTTCACAGCTTCTTAGATCTGAGGAGATAGGATCTTGTACCCACTGGGATGTCGATACTAAGGCTCAGAGGAGAAGTGACTTGCTCAGGGTCACCCGGTGGTCACAACTGTGACCTCAGAGGTGGAGTAGCCAACAGCTCTCCCTCCTCTTCCTCCAAACTGAGCCCAAACACCACACTGATCCAGGTGGTCTCAGGAAGGGAACAGCAAAAGGGATATCTATTGCTTGAGGGCAGGGGCCTCATGTGTCTTGCTCACCACCCATCTCTGGGACCTGGACCAGTCCTGGGCATAGAAGGTGAATGATAAATGACACAGACTCTCACAGCAGACAGCCTGAATTCAAAGCATAACTTTATCCCTTCCTCTCCACTGTGCACACCTGTGTTCTCACCTTCGATAAGACTCCTTGCCTCAAATGGTTGTTGTGAGCTTTAAATGAGTCAGTACAGTTAAAAGAACTTAGCATGGTGCCTGACATATAGGAAGTGCTCCATAAGTATTAACCATGAAGATGTTTATCTTGATATCCTAAGCATCTAATTCATAGAAGGTTCAGGATAAATATCTGCTGAATGAGTGAGTGATAACAAGAGAGAATGGATGGATAGGCAGTTGGGTGGACAGGTGGGTGGAGAGATGGACTGGAAGATAAAAGGACAAAGAGCTGGATAGATGGATGGATGAATGGGTGGATGCACATAAAGATGGGTAGGTGGATGGATGGAGAGACATGTAAAGACTGGTAAATGGATAGAGGGATGAATGGATGGGTAGATGGATAGATGGATGACTAAATGGATGGATACAAGGATGGATGGATAGACAGACGGATGGATGAATGGATATAAAGATGGATGAATGAACAGATAGATGCAAAGATGGGTTGATGGATGGATATAAAGATGGGTAAATAGCTATGTGGATAGATGGATAGACAGAAGGAAATGTTGTCATATGGTTGAATGGATGGAGAGTTGGAGTACTGGCAGATGAATGAAGAGACAGATATGTGGGAAGGTGGATGGATGAATGCACGGATGAATGACTGAATGGATAGATGTAAAGATGGATGGATGGATGAACAGTTGACGGATGGATATATGAATGGGTGGATATAAGGATGGATGGACAGATAGATGTAAAGATGGGTTGAAGGATGGCTATAAAGATGAGTTGATAGGGGCGCCTGGGTGGCTCAGTGGGTTAAACCTCTGCCTTCGGCTCCGGTCATGATCCCAGGGTCCTTGGATCGAGCCCCGCATCGGGCTCTCTGCTCAGCAGGGAGCCTGCTTCCCTTCCTCTCTCTCTGCCTGTGTCTCTGCCTACTTGTGATCTTTCTCTCTCTGTGTCAAATAAATAAATAAATAATCTTTTTTTTTAAAAAAAGAGGGATAGATGGATGGATATAAAGATGGATGGATGGATGCGTGGATGGATGGATAGAAGGAAATGTCATATGGATGAATGGATGGAGAGATGGACTACTAGTAGATGAATGAAGAGACAGGTATGTGGGTAGGTGGATGGATGAATGACTGAATGGATGGATAAAGATGGATGAATGAACAGTTGGATGGATGGATGCATGGATGGATGGATGCATGGATGGATGGATAGAAGGAAATGTTGTCACAGGGATGAATGGATAGAGAAATGGAGTACTGGCAGATGAATGAAGACACAGGTGTGTGGGTAGGTGGATGAATGAATGGATGAGCAACCTGGAGCCAGAGGGAACTTCTGCTCTGTAACTTGAAGAAGGACACTCCCCACCCCAGAAGACCTGGGCCCCAACATCTCTCTCACCGGCTGAACCAGAACGTTGTTCTTGCCATAGAGCAGTGTGGCCCTGGAGTTCTGATGCAGGGACTCCACATAGTCACGGGCAGAAAGGGATGGTCGGTCGTCCATGCTGCCACTCGAATGCCTCTTCTGGATCTGGCAGTGTGAGAGGAGGTGGAGGGTGACGCCTAGGGTGACCCTCAGGGTCCCACTCTGTTCCCCCACCTCCCCACCTAGTCTGGAACCCAGCCCAACTCCTTCCCAGGTCTCCACAGCCCACCCTTACACAGAGGGCCGGCCGCTTGGTGGGTGAGTCTTGCCGTAGGTGCGAGCTGTGGATGCGGTGTCTCTGCACGAGCTCGTCGGCCGAGGGGTCAGTCCAGAAGTGATCCGCAGTCTTCATCTTGGTGTACTCTAGGGCACAGGGCCCCACTGCAGAGCATATGGGGGCTGGGACTCTAGAGTCTCAGATGGTCCACCTTCCCCCGCCATGGGCCACCAATTTTACCACTTCTCCCCTCCAGCTAGTGAGTACCCCCAGGGTCTTCCTAAGGAGAGGCCAGTACTAAACCCTGGGAGCCAGAGCCAGGGAACAGGTACGTTTTGGTGGAGGAGGCTGGAGGGCAATGAGAGAGGCCCTTTGGATACAACAGTGAGCAGAACCCAGAGACCCAGATAAAATTCAGAGCACTGGACCACTTACCCAACAAAGATGCAAGGATGGGGCCATCCACGGGGTCCATCAGAAGGGCCTCCTTCTCGTAGTACTTACTAGCAAGAGAAAAGGACAGGCAGGTTTGGATGGTGACCAGCAGAGAGTGCACAATCAACTCTGACCTATTGGTTAAAAGCGAACTGTGTTGGGTCTCCCTCTAGTCACCTCTCTGAGCCTCAGATACCCCATCTGTAAAATGGGTGTAATAAAAATAGATGTCCTAGGGCTGTTGGAAAGCCTTTTGAGAGAGACAACAGATGTGAGGCACTTAGCACTGTGCTTTGCATGGAATGGCTGGAATGAGAGTAACAGGAATAACGATTACAAAGTAGTTCCTGCGGGGGCCTGGGTAGCTCAGTCATTAAGCATCTGCCTTTAGCTCAGGTCAGGATCTCACAGTCCTGGGTCGGAGCCCCACATCACGCTCCCTATGCAGCAGGAAGCCTGCTTCTCTGTCTCCTACTCCCCCTGCTTGTGTTCCCTCTCTCTCTGTCAAATTAATAAATAAAATCTTTTAAAAAAATAAAAAACAAACAAACAACAACAACAACAAAAACCAAAGTGGCTCCTGGCTGGTTCTATCAATTTCTACCGCATCTTCCATTTCAGACGGCAAATTGCTTAGGGGCTTGGATGTTGTCTGCCCTTCAAATGAGGCAGCAAGATGCCTTTTAGCTGTTGTGTGCACTGAAAAGATGTATTAACAGGAGACTTCCTGCCCAGACAGCCCATGTAGGTGATGCCTGCCTGATGTGCTCATGAGCGCCTGCTGGCTCCTGGCTCTTCCCAACAACTTGTGATGCAGGCAATACAGTGTTCCTGCTGTTTTGCTTTTCATTTCTTTGTTTGAGTTGTTGTGGAGTGGCTTCTAATTCTTTGCTAATTCATACCATCTAGAAACAGAATTTTAGAGTTGATAAAGACCTTGTTCTACCCTCCTGAGAGGTCTCAGGCTCAGGCTCAGGGAGGGAAAGTGACCTGTTGGAGGCCACACAGCAGGTGGCTGTAGGCTACACCCAGCCAGCCTGGCTCTTCCATCCTACAGCAGGGGGTGAAGACCACAGGATCGGGAGGGAGACAGGAGACAGACTGATGGGGCGCCAGGCTCGGCCATTTCCATCCTTGCTGTGGCGGAAGTCACCTACCCACCTGGGCAGGTGACTACCTTCTCTGAGCTTCAGTGTCCTTAGCTGTAAAATGGGAAGAACAATGAAACTCACCTAGCCAGGTTGTTGGGAGGATTAAAGGTAGGCCTGCTTGTACAGCAACAGCACAGACCCTATCTCCAGGAAGTTCTCATGAAATGGTGGCAACATCATGGTTATTTTACCCCAGAGGAATCTTCTGTCCACCAGAATATTGGCTGAGGCAGAACTGACCTGCCCTGTACACGCTCAGCAGCAAGCTTATACATTTTGGCTGAAGATAAGGTGTCAAGACACTTTCCACTCTGCCGCTCAGTTTCCATTCCAAAAATCAGCACAGTTACCTGATCATGAACCTTGGGAATACTGCCTTGAAAAATAGCAGGTAGGACTGGGAGTAAGATGTGACCATCAAGGGTGGCCCAAGGGAGCTCCTCTGCAGTGATAGGTTTCACTGGAACAGTTCTATTCCTGACTGTGGTGTCAGCTATACAAGACTATGCATGTATTAAAATTCCATAGAACAATACAGGGGGAAAAATGAGGGTATGTAAAAACTAGCAAAATCCAAATAAAGTCTGTTGTTCAGTTAACAGTATTTTACCAATGGCAATTCCCTATTTTGGTCCTTGTACTATGTTATGGAGGATGTTATCACCTAGGGTAGAAGAGACTCTAATGTTATAGCTTCTATGTGAATCTGAAAAAATAAGTTTAATGAAGAAAGAGGTTGACATTATTGCTGAAATAAATCACTAATTCCTTTTGACTGACTTACTGAGAAAACACAAGGTCATATGCCAAAGGGAATACCTACAGAGGCCCTGGGAATTTAGCAGAATTTAGGTTCTAAACCCATGTCTCTACACAGGGCAGAGATGTGTCACAAGAAGATGAAGAGATTAATTGGACTCCAAGGCCTGGATTTCTTTCAGTTCCTCTCCTGCCTCCCGGCTTTTGCACCAGCTGTTCCCTCTGCTGGGATCACTCTTTCCCCATACCCCCTTTATCTGGCTAAAGCCTACATGTCCTTCAAATGGAAGCTTAACTGCCATGTCTTCCAGGACACATTCCCAGGCCACCCAGTGGAGATAAAACACCACCCACCTGACTTGGAATACTCATCATATCTTATCCCAATTAGCACTTACCTGTTTTCCCTGCTACAATACGAGGTTCATGAGAAGAAGCACTTCGCTCTACACTTTCATGCACATTTTCCTAGCAAACAGGCTAAGAATAAAAGATGATCATAATACCTATTGCATGTGAAGATGTGGTTAAACAAGCACTTTCATACACCAAGAGATACAGAGATTCTCAGATACTCCCCTTATATTCTCCTTCCCTCCTTCTCTCCACCCCCTCTCTCTGGCTGGAAGGGAGTACTGGCCATGAAGAGTCTCCTCATTCATCTGGCTGCCCCATGCCCTTAGCATAACATTTAAGCTTTGAACATGACAGTTGAGATGAATGTATCCCCAGCATCTAGGTTAGTGCCTGGCACATAGTAGGCAGTCATTAAGTATTTACTGGATGAATGAATAGATGGATGGATGGATGGGTAAATGCTTGCCAAGAGGGCTCATGCTATAAAATCTTTACACCAGGTTGATCTGAGCTAGAAAAGAAAATGTAAAAAAGTATTATTTCTAAAATGTTGTGTACTCACTAACTCTCATTCTTTCCCCTTCTCCAGAATGGCAGCAATCCCTGTCCCATTTACCAAATGAGAGCAGAGACAGAGGAGTTAGATGACTCCTCTTAGGCCATAGTTAGCAAGAAGACAGTAGCTTAATTCATGGGAGAAGAAAGATGCCTCAGATAGCAAGATACTACATCCCACTCCAAATCTGAAGACCTTGCATTGGCAGTAAGCACCTGAATTTTCCCAAGGTTCTATACTAGGCTAATCTGGAGGCAAACATCCAGAAAGCCTTTATTTAATCTCTTTCAAATCAAGTACGTATCAAGGGAAAGAAAATAAAGCTTTGTGTAATAGGTTGCAATTCCCAGCAGGTGGCGGCAGAGCACACCCAGGAGTCTAGTCTTTCCGGCTCACCTGCTGTTTTCCACCAGGTAATGCACAATTTTGTCCAGCACCTTCTCAAACAAGGCAGTGCGAATCCACAGGTGCTTGATGGCGAGTGGGGACAGGTTGGGCAGTTTCGGAAGCTTCCGCACATTCTCCTGGAGGCCCTGGATCTGGTTTCGCCTTCAAGGCCAGTAAAGAAGGAGGATGAATATTCACAAAAGAGGAAATCCCACAGGACCAATATGCAACTGGCGAAATGTTCTACCTCTCTGGGAAATGAAGGAATGGCAACTAAACCAACAGGAGCCCTTATTGCTCCTGGCAAGTGGGTAAAGAGTTGAAAAAAGTCACAATACCCAGTGAGCGTAAAGTTGCAGTGGAACAGACACTTTAATAAACTGCTGATGGACAAGCCAGATTCTTATAGTGATGTTTCTCTTCTCTTCCCCTCTCCTCTCTTTCTCTCTCTTTCTCTTCCCCCTCTATCTGCCATGGATGAGTGACTGCATGAATGAATGAATGGCTCTCGCTTACCACCTGGCATGGGTATCTCTAATTCCTCCATTAGAAAATCTCTCCCAATATTATGGAAGGCCCATGGAAATCCATCCCTTTAAAGTTATGAGCAAACACCTGGGAATTTAGCAGAGGGATTGGAAGGCACCTGAAGACCATGTGGCTGAGGAGTCAGATTCCAAAATAGGAGTTGGCAACGCCAAAGCCACATGCTGGCCCATCATGCAGATCTGTCCAGAAGCACTGGGCCATTTCCCATCCAGTGATGTGGAGTGATCACCCACAGCAGAGAAGGCAAACATGGCATATGTGCCTCTCTCCCTTCTCTTGCCCGGAACAGACATGGCTAATTGATCCACGCATTCTTTCCCATGAAACCCAATAGCAGCTCCAGAATCTTTCAAAACAAGGTCTTTCCGGTGGCCTCTAACACGAACTGGAGGTGAAACTTATCTGCCATCCCTGACCAGGCCCCAGATGGAGGCTGTGGCTGCACAGTTGGGACTTTGGGGGTAACTCTGGTGGAAGGCACTCATATACACACTCAGGCCATGAGTCTCCCCGCAACGAACACAATCAGCCTTGAGATGCATGAGTGAAGTCACTGCTCCCCTTCAATGGTTGCCTCAGCGTCACACGCGGTCCATGCAGACAGTGACCATATTAGTTTCATTAAATTTTGGTCTCCCTGCATTCAGAATGGGGTCTGGGTCCCAAGAGGCACTTACTCATTCAACAATCATTTCTAGAGCATTTGGGGTGCCGGGCACTGTCCAGGCACTGGGGACATAATGGGGAATAACAGATTTTAGTTGCCTGTTCTCATGGAGTTCAGAGTCCAGTGGGGGAGATAGACAAGTATCAAGCAAAAAAATAAATGAATAATTAGAGGTGGTGATAACCACAGGGAAGTATATAAACGGGGATGATCTAAAAGAGAAATGGGGTGAGGGCTGGAATTTACCCTTAACTGGGGGAAGGCCTGAATGATGACAAGGAACTAGCCATGGAAGATGGGGTGTGTGAACTGGGTGGTGGGTATGGCATGTGCAAAGGCCCTGGGGTAGGAAAGAGTCTGTCAGGTTTGGGGAGCAGAAAGGAGACTAGAGAGAGTGCCAGGAGGTAGGGGTGCTCGCAGAGCTCAGGGAGGAGCATGGACTGTCCTCCGCAGGCCCGCCCTGACCATACCCCATGTTCCACACTCACGTGCTCTCGATCAGCTGCTCCAGGTCCTGCACCTTGCGGCTGAGCTCCTCGGCTGGTGGGAAGTTCTTGCCCACTTTCATGAAGAGAGCTGCAATCTTGTTGCTGCGCAGAAAACCAGCCGCCCGGCGCCGCAGCCCATGCAAGACGCAGGACTCCACAGCCGCTGTAGGGACACAACGGTCAGTCAGCAGGCCCTGCCCTGCCCACACTCCCCTGCACCCAGCTCAGAACTCCAGTCACACAGAGGCACCTTGGAGAGCTGCGGGCCCTAGAATCACAAAATTCGTGAAAGGCTCTTAAGGAAAGGCACATATGCCTCCCTACCTCCCACTCCCTCAAAAGGGAACAAGAGAGCTTGCAGTTAACCTATGCTCACTGCCCAAGGTCAGACTGTCTGTGTTGATGTCCTCTCCCAGATACTAACCACTTGTGTGACCTTGGGCAACTACTTACCCTCCCTGTGTCTCAGTTTCTTCATCTGTGAAATGGGGATAGTACAAACAAGTGTCTTAAAAGGTTGCTTTTAGAATGAGGTGGAAAGGGATGCCTGGGCAGCTCAGTTGGTTAAGCATCTGCCTTCAAGTCCGGTGGTGATCTCGGGGTCCTGGGATTGAGCCCCACATAGGGCTCTCTGCTCAGGAGGAGTCTGCTTCTTCCTCTTTCTCTGTTCTTTCTCTCCCTCTCTCAAATAAATAAGTAAAATCTTTTAAAAAAGAGAATGAGGTGGGAAAAATGCATGGAAAGCATTTCATGTAAAATCTGGCACATAGAGAGTGCTTTAGAAACATGAGTTATTACTCCTGCCAGTGAGGGAAGAGGGACTGGACCACAGGACTGTCAAGCTTTCTCTGGGTTAAAGAATCACACCAACGTCATTACTGTGATTCCAGTAAGAACAAACAGTATGCATCTCATTCTACCTCTGTCACAGCCAAGAAAGGGAAAAAAATCCCCATTTTTCAGATGTGAAAACTGAGGCTCTAAGTGGTAAGCTGAAGTGCCCAAACCTAGCAAATGGGTGATGGAGCTGGGATTCAAACCCAGGCCTGAGCCCAAGGTGTGCTCACAACACTTATGCTTCCATGAAAAATTTTAAGAGAGGATGCAGTCATTTTCTTCCAGTGTCTGTGTTTCCCCTGGGTGGTCACCTGTGCTCTACCACTAACTTGCTGTGTGACCTCAGGCAAATCGTTTTCCCTCTCTGGGCCTTAGTTTTTCCTCCTGGAAAATAGTCCCTGTGTAGGCCATTCAGATGGCCCCAGTCTTCTTTTTGGTACTTTCAGCAGGCCTCTAATAAGTATTTTCCTGCCTCTGTCTTACACAGTAGACTGGGAGCTCACTCTGCTATGTAACAGAAGCATAGTCAGTGTTGATGGGAAAAGGGAGTCTATTGTAAGAGCTACTTCTTAGTGGGTATCTGCTGGGTGTCAACCACTGTTGAAGTTTACCTTCCCTACTCCTGGTGGAAAAACCCTGTGAAGTGAGTGTTCTAGTTGCTGTCACTTCATACAAGGAAAACACCAGCAATCCGAGGGTGAAGAGCCTGGCCAAGGTCAAGCTGTGCACCAGGAAAAATCCTGAGAAGTTTTGGTTCAACTACTTGTCTTGGGGTATTTTGTTGTTGTTGTTGTTGTTGTTGTTGTTAGCAATTACTTGGCTTTTTAAAAAATTATTATTATTTTTTTTAAGTAGGCTCCATGCCTAACATGAGGCTTGAACTCACAACCCCAAGATCAAGAGACGTGTGCCTACCGACTGAGCCAGCCAGGTGCCCCGGCAATTATGACTTTAAATGGATTCCACTCTATTGTCTAATTTGCCTATGGGCTTAAAATATTCTGGGTAAGCATCTTCTACACAGCTTCATTTTTGCTTATACGCACAACACTTTTCATTTGTCTCTACTGCAACAACTTAATCATCTAGGCATTGGAGTCTTGGTTGATTCTTTCCAACAATGGCCCATAAGGAACAATGAATCAGAGACATCTCAGGGAGACCCTGCAGGCCTTATTCAGTGCCATTACATTTCTTCTCTCATCCCAAAACAGTGGTTGAAGCTAGACGATTATCATGATTTTTAGCACTTTCTATTCCTCTAAGTCTTTAACAGGTAGATATGGCCACACATTCTGAAATGGGCATGCCTGTTATTTTCTTTGCAAAGAGAGATGTTCAAAAGAAAAAAAAATAGGTGAGA